ATTCTTTATACATTCTTTATACATTCTTTATACATTTATTNTTATACATTCGCTATACATTCGTTATACATTCGTTATACATTCGTTGTACATTCATTGTACATTCGTTGCACATTCCTTGCTCATTCGTTATACATTCATTGTTCATTCGTTGCGCATTCGCTACACATTCGTTATACATTCTTTATACATTCGTTGTACATTCGTTATACATTCTTTATACATTCTTTATACATTCTTTATACATTCTTTATACATTCTTTATACATTCTTTATACATTCTTTATACATTCTTTATATATTCTTTATATATTCTTCATACATTTGTTATAGATTCGTTATCAATTCGGCATGCAGCTGTGTTGGAAAATCGCCCCGATTCATTTATCTTTAGATTTTTTCGATTTCGGCAACTGGTTTGATTCGGAAGAATTCTGTGCTGCTTACCCATCAATTATTTTTGTTAAGGAGCTATTTCCATCTAACTATAACCAGCAGGAGAAATATATTTTCTGGATGATGAATCAAAATAACGGGGATTAGGAAATATATACTCGTTACTGATGTCTTAACTAGAGCTCAGCGTCTTGAACAAGTCACTGCGCAGTGTACCTACCGTACAAGTCAGTAAGCAGTGGAGTGTACTTATCTACTGCAGTGCGTTCGTTATACGTAGACTGAACTGCAGCCATTGCATAGAAAAATATCACAGTATTTACTAGTTTGATTAATATAAATTGAATGTTGATCGGCTCTTATAGTTCTTATTATCGTTATTAACAATGAAGTAAGCTTGCTGTGATGTATTTTAACTTGAAAATATATTTAAATGATCAAATATGACATCAAAATAAAAAGTATCTTCGCTCTTTAGTTCAACGATGGCAATTACAAGAAAATACAAATAATAACGTACCCAAGCCTTCTATCATTAGGCTGACACTAATTTGTTTCATTTTGTGTGTGTCTCAAAGAGGTATTACTGATCTTATAACTTTAGTGGTGTTAATTTGATACAAATTATTTCATATTTTGTCTAATCTCTAGCTTTGATTACAGTTATTATCTTAGTTTTCAAAAACTTTAAGATGATAACAAATTATCTCATAGTTTTATTATAATAGAAATTGAAACTATTTATTCCTTTCGCACTATTTATTATGATATTTTTAGAATATTTTGTTCTTAAAATGACCTAATATAACGCGCTTTTGGGACGTTTTCTGGAATGTTGTGATAAATGAAGATGTTATACCAAGTATACGGAATATTTTTCATTTGGGATCCTCGCGTCGTTTAACCACACCAAAGCGTTCACCTGCCATCAGCAGCTGACATCGCAGCATCAGGCAATTTCACGATCTGTCAAGTTCGTAAATAACGTAGCATCTCACATCGAAACGCCGAAGTTCGCTAGATATAATATTCAATTTTTGTGTTAAGTGTATCGTTATGTGCTAGAAAATATTGCGCCTGTGCAGCAAATTTTAAGGTTTATGTTCAAATATAAACGATGACTGAGAATAAATTTATAGAATCAATTTTTTATGCAAGTGGCTTTGAACGCTGTACTCTTTGTGGTGCATTATTATAATTTAAAGACAGACATTCTGATGTCTTTTAAAATGCTCTAAAGCGTGGACAAAAGCTGTCGCCATTAGACGAGGAATGTTTTCCTGTGCCAGTCGAGGCGTTGCTTGCACCAGCTACCGTCAATTATCAGCTATCCAATGTTTTTATGCCAATCAAGAGCAACCATTGTTGAATTATGGGCGTAACTTTTTATCCTAATTATGCACCATGAAAAAAACATGAGTATGGAATAGCGGCGTGCGCCAAACGCTGGAAGCTAACTTCAATTGAGGAAATTACAGCTTTTGTGTTAAGAAAATCGAAATTTAAAAATTGCGAAAAATTTATTTCGCTATATTATTCTTCGTTTCCATAAAATTACTCTGATGACCGTAATAATTTTGTGTTAAAATAAGTTTTCGATGTATTCGTCTAGGCATTACCCTCGTGAAATATATGCACGAGTCGAAGCTGTTATAGTTGCGTTTGAAATAATGAAGAGCTTGACGCAGAGCGCTGCGGCAATGACTGAAAAAAGTGGCGGCTGGTCGGAAAAAAGTTAGGGGCGTGACCGCTGAAGCTCTAAGGGCTGAATCAGCGTGTTCACTCGGGAAGCATTAGGTTAGTTGCATTGTGAAACGAATGCGTTTTTGCCGCAATTTGTTAATCAATTGAACTGTCCAATAATCTCATAAAAAGTTTTTTTTGGCTTGAATTTGAGTTTTTATGTGCGAATTTTGCTTCAGATATTCATACGTAACAAGAAGGTGCAGTTTGTGTGAATTCTGTCCGTGGGTTTTCGGTTTTCAACGTCGGCCAGGAAAGGGCGGACTGCTCTGGTGCGTCCGCTGCACCCGCTGCACGAAACACCTTCCGCACTGTTGCTGCTGCTGTATTAGAAAAATAGAAGGCTTTGAATCATTTATTTCAGGCTCGCTGTCAATATTCTTCATTATTTATGCACTAGCCCATCATATTGTTAGTCTTTGAAGACATCTATGATAATAATTGATGTTTTTAATAATAATAATAACAATAATAATAATAATAGCGGTTTCAGCATTTCGTAGGCCGTAGGCCTGTCGCCGATTCTTAACTTCGCAGAACATTCAGAGCATTTTGCGGTCTCGAACTCGCAACTCACTGCTACAATTCTGCTGTGCTTAACCGCCCGGCCTCCACGCAGATTCTGACTATAAACTGGCGCACAGAGCTGGGATCGAACCCGCGCCTCTCTGCGCCAATCTTGGTACTCTGAACTTTAACCACTGGTATGATCGATAAACCTTAATCACAAATTCATCGTCATCGAGTTCATCGTCAAATCACCCTGCTATAGACATTTTTCAAATCCCATTCGTTCAATCACTACTGATCACAAGATGATCACAATACTTCTTAAATTCTTAATGATTCCCAGAGATCCAATTCTAAAGCATCCGCATCTCATCTCTTCTATTTTGCCTCATTGAACATGAGCGTCAACAGCCGCGCGTGATTACGACGATGTCACGGTCGTTTGCCGGTAGAAGCCCTGCCCTAAACCGCAGTCGCCTCTACAGCCTCCGCACTACCGGCACTTTTGAATACGTGCTGCAAATCATTGCATGTCCCTAGCTTGCCTCAGCCAGTGTCCCGATTACAGCCAATGAGGGAAGAGCTTCAGGAATCCACCCTGTACATTGGCTGCGTATCCTTGACTTGTGCGGGGCCATTGCTCTCTCTCGCTCTCTGGCCACTAGTTTACAACACAGGATTATCATTTGAGGGGCCTGAAGCTGCCTTAATTTGACGCTTTTGTCGAGTGTGAACAGAGAGGGTCGATGGCCATGGTCCAGTTGCGGCAGGATGTGGTGGATTGCGTTCAACACAAAGCCGCGTCGCTCAGCCACCGTACACAGTGCGTCGGTGTCGACCAGCGTCACAACAACTCAGCGTCAACCTCCCTCAGGGGCGTGAGCTGCACTATCCCTACACGCGTGTTAACGATGAATATCTTGTAGTGCCCTCAGAACTTACGATTCCAAGGAGGGGGCGAAGTCAGAAGAAGTGGACTACAATATCGTGGCCTCAGACATAATATTGAACTAATGATAATGAGAAAGAACAATTAAAATAAGCTAATGTTTGCAACAATTAAGAGGGAATAACTAGATACGTGTTCCTATTTAAAAAAGATGAATCAGCAGTACGATAGACGATGTGTCGCACTGCGCAACGTTCGCGCAAACCATGTATCAAAAGTGAATACGAACGGTATACTTTGAACTCTCCTGGTCTCCGAAATAGAACTTTATTTGCATTGCTCGAGCTTCTAAAAAACTGGTATCGTTCGATGTTGGTGTAACTTTTATTCGATGTTTGGAGACAAAGCGAAGTTCATCAATTGAAGCTATCACCCAAATGTGACCAGAAGAATTATTAGTGAACCTGTGACGCTCACGAAGAATTCCTGAAATATTTTTCTGAACAAAATTTTTGGTACAAAGCACTTCTCCGCACAATACGCTCGTTGTCAGCACGTTTGACATAATAAGTACAATTGAAAAAATTATTGTGCTGAAATTTAAATTTCAGTGTCAATCACTTTACTTTGAAAGATCAATGCAAAATTTCGATATATGAATTTTTTATAAATTAAGAATGGAACGTTCGCAGACAAGGTCGTTATAGTACTGAGTTTTTTATGCGATTCATCAATTCAGATGATTGAAAATAAAACTGTTGGAAGTTTCCATGAACTTTTCATGTCTGAAAGGAAATCCATGTTTGGAGCAAAGGAGAAACATAATTTTTATTAAATATTGCCCTACGATCGTCATAGATTTCCTAATTGGAATTGAAACTCAATAAAATTTTGATTACAAAGTGATTTTTATTTGTGCTCGAAACTCACTCTGAATGTTGAGTTTTTAATGCAGAATTGAAATGCATCATGGAAGAATATATTTTGCCTTTACAGAGATCCTTAGTTTACCTCACAAGTTTCCAACTCGTTCTATACTTTTTTTCTGAACCTAATTGCTTCTCTGAAATTATTAAAATGAATTTTGCTCTTCGATTTCTTCAGCAAATAGCCTTCAAACCTGTAAACAATTTGATCCTGGTATCAAATCGCTACTGATTTTTGAAAATCTAAGCTTATTTTTAGGCGTCGTCATTTGCTATCAAACTTCATAAAATATATACTTCTTTATGATGCGTAATTGCATGATGCTTAGCAATTGTAATTTATCTTCCAACAGCTGGTATAAAATTGCTATTTTCCTCCTCTCATACTCCAGTGTAACAATTAAGTTCAAAAAAGTAACTTTTAAGATAAAATCCCCAGTAAGAAAAATATCTATTTGCTCAATCCTGAATCTAATTTTCGTAGAATATATTAAAACTTTCTTCACTATATTTTAATGCGTTTCCTAAAATTGCAGAGTAATTATTTTACTTGAATAATTAGGTAATCTTAAACAACATAGAGTTGGAAATTATAACGACACAAGTAAATGTCAATTCACTAGCGATCATTAATTCTACGACCAATTATAATTTTTAAATTCCTGAAAATTTTTAAATTAAATTTGACTGAACTTTCATGATAGAGATGGCGAAAAATGTGCTTAGTCTGAAAATTGCATCTTGATCCAAAGGTTGGATCGTTTTTAAAAAGATCTTCTCTAAGCCAACGCATCGAAGCTGCTCGGTCATCTCGCTCCGCTTTTGTCGATTGCATCTCCAACAAAACCTAAGCATTCCACTGCAAGAACTCCTGGACAATTCTTCCATTCCTTTAATTCCTCACACAGATCTCCACAATAAGTTTCCACATCGCTCAATATTATTATTTGTAATCAGCACCAGCTCTTCGTACTGTTCTGTCAATTTTGTTTTCTACAAAGTAATTTTTGGTAGACATTTTAACTCCTTATTTCTTTGCAAACTGCAGCCGTCTTCTGTACTTCTATACATCTTACCTTTACTCTTATTGTGTGTTTTTTGTGTCGGGCCTAACATGCCCTTCTGTATCCATCAGTTGTGGTGATCATGGTGACATCCACCTCAACCATAGCCACCACAATGGTGCAGGCTCTCACTATACTCACCGCACTCCAGATGTTCTCCGATGGTGAGTACAAACAAAGTCATCATTTGCATGACCTTCTGAGCTCCTATATTTCGAGGAAATTTTCGAGATTATTGTCGTCTTATACTCTTATCTATGTCTTGTTTCTACAACTACAATGGCTGGTTTAAATTAAGGCTTTGATGAGGATCGGCTTATTATAGACACTACTATACTGGCTGGTTAAATTAAGGCTTTGATAAGGATTGAATTATAGACACGACTAAACTGGCTGGTTGAATTAAGGCTTTGATGTTGATTGGCTTATAGACAAGATTACTGTATAATGGCTGATTAAATTAAAGCTTTGATGCTGATTGGGTTATAGATTTACGACTTCTCTTTCACTTCTAGCTGATACTCGCCTGCTCTGTTTTTGCATCTAACTTCAGATGCTTGAAAGATGTTGTGGCATGCAAATAACAATCAACATATGGTTTTTTTTATCATCCGGAATGAATGAATGAGTTGAAAATAGAAAATTACTTGTTGGTGAGTTGATGTTTACCTTTTTCTATTCTTTAAGACGGACTTTTCTAACTTGCTGTGCAGTTCGTCTAGAACTTCATTAATAATAATGAAAGTTTGCCTATAGAGCTGGAGCTATGTTTACTAGGCAGAAGGTCCTACCAATTATTTTCCTGTTATTTGTCAAACATTGACTGTGGAAATCTTGAAAAATAATTAAAATCTAGAACTAAATAAATTAGAGTATATGGAATGAACAAAACAGACCGTGTATTCGAATTATACTTACCAGATAGAAGTTAATAAGAAATTAACAAATTAGTTGTGATGATAAACAACAGAACGCTTTTCACGTTATGACGTGACTTTAATTACTCCTGACTAGTCTGTTTATGAAAACAAATATTAATTTGTAAAAACGTGATGCTTCTTTGAGTGGAAAGGAGAAAAAACTTTATTACAATAATTCAAATCTAGACACGAGCATCCACCGAAAGAAGTAATAATTATACATCAAAATAGACATTTTTCTTTCCCTTGTAAAGTTCTTTGTATCCCTTGTAAAGTTCAAGAATAATTTTAAAAATTATTTTTATAATTTTCAATACATTTCTGCGAAATTTTTGCCGCTTTTACTAACTCGAAGTCAGTTGTCTGGCGTCGCAACGCTTTATTTACCTGGCTTTTCTTTCTCATAAAAAAGTGGCTTGCAAATTCAAAAAGTTTCGTAAATCCTGACGTAGGAGAAACTAAATTAACAAAATGAATTTCCCTCACTTGAACTTTGAAGGAATTTCCCCGAGGGAAACCTAAGTCGGATTAACTTGGGGGGAGGAGAAGGATGAGGCCCGCCGGTGTATCGAAAACTTGGCTTCTTTTAATGTTGATGAAGCGCTCTGGGTTGACCTGCTTACTCAAGATATAAACTTTTTCTCTTAAAACTTAGGAGAAATTTCAAGTAAACTATTATAATTATTATGTTGGTTTTTTAATATATTATGCCGGTCTTAGGTGTGAGCTTGTAAGAGAAAGAATATTTTGTTTTCTACATTTTACTTCCATGAATGTTTTTGCTTTTACACATTTGTGCTAATTTAACTTTAACTCACTTAGGACATCCATTTACAGCGACGTTTACATAAAATCAAGCTTGTTTTCATTTATACTATCTTAGAGACTTTGTAAACTGGCTTGTATACATTTTTTTCCATCACACGTATATTTTCCTTGTTTCATTCGTTAAGAATCATGATTTTCAGCTTGTTTGAAGTCAGCTCATACAAACTCACGCACCATTGCTCTAAACGCTGAAGAAGCTGTTTAATTTTGTCATTACATCTAATTAACGCAATCATTTTAAATCACAACCACTAAAATAATTATTGCCCAAATTAAACATCATTTTCTTATCTTCAGTCTCAACATACGCAATCACACATTAAATCGTAATTTTCAACGCCCACTGCGGTATGATTATTCAAGTGGGTTATCAAAGTCACAAGTATAGAGATAACAAGAAATTCGTTGTCAGTACGTTTCGAAAATAGCATCGACTACTGAAACCGTGGACCATCGAAAAATTGCTTTAACGACCCCAAAACGCATACAATTCACAAAAACGAGTAGCAAAGTCTAATAACGTTCTCAAAACGTCTGAAAACGCAGACCACAAAGTCTAAACAACGACGCATGAAAAAACGGCAGTCCATTTTTTTCATGAAAGTCGCGAAGGTCACATCAACTTCCGAATTTCCGCCCACTTTTGAGGAAAATTTTACTGCGTTCTGCGTCTTTTCGATTACGTCAAGGTTTGATAGGTTGATATACGGGGTTGTATTGTTTGGTAAACCAATGCAAAGCGATACCATTATTTTTTATCTAAAATTTTGATATCGGAGATAAACGTCCTGGGTTGTTTGTTATCTATTCTTCACTAGTTCGGAGATAATTTTTTTCACTTTTTTCAGATTAATTAGTAAAAATAATAAAAAATTGCGTAATTATATTCCAAGAAAAACACTTTTCAAGCATACATTGTGTCCTTAGGTCGAACACACATCGCATCGAGCGTTCGCTTCCCTCGCCGGCGATCGATATGAGCGCACGCAGCGTGACGCACTAAGCGTCAATGCGTTGCGCTTCATGATAGGCATGCGTTTGCGAACATCGTATAAGTTCAAGAAACATTCTAAATAATTGTTCGTAGTATCATTCATGAATAATATGACGTGATATCAAATTCAATTTTTTTGTGCAGTCCAAGCTTCAATCTGAAGAAGCCAATTTCAAACTTGGTTGGTCAGAGAAAACCAATTTATGTAAGTTCTTGATTTAATTTGACCTAGATGTACTTGGTATGTTCTCGAACCTAAGTGTTCTTGGCATTATGATGGTTAACACTGTGCATATAATGCGCAGAACTAGAATAACGCAGAGCATTTACTGTTTATGCTATGAACCCCGATGACGCAAAGTTGTCCTAGAACTATGATGCTACAGAACGTGCAGATAGTGATAATTGTCATGATGACACAAATTATTCTGATGCTGAGCAAAATATATGGTGATTAAGAAAATACTGAAAAACAATACGATAATAAAGAGAATGTCCGAGCAATATGACAATAAATAGAATGCTCAAACTATGATGAACACGTGAATGCAGATCTTGCTCTGAACCATTATTATACAACTTATGCAGATTATGCTCGAGGCTATGATTATTCAAAGTATGTAGATGATGCTAGTCCACTGATAATGCATACAATGAAGATGATATTCACTGCTATGAAGATGCAAAATTTTTTATCCGCGAAATGCTCCGCACCATATAATTCAGCGCAGAATGCAAGTCTTGCTCAGCTTGTGATGAAGCTGAACCCCTCGACTGCTGGCATCAGTCAGCGTCAGACGCAGCAGCCGTACGTGGTCAGTCAGCGCAACGCTTGGTGCGTCATTAGACGCACGCGACGTATCCTTGATACGCTCTGATGACGCAGCAAGTCTGCCTCCCTTCTTACGCACCGCAACGTCCACGCCTGACGTCAAACCAAGTCCATACAGCAAGCAATATTTTTAATCGTTTCGCTGCACCTTCATAGAACTCCTGTTAAGCCTGCAAGTATTTATATTTTTGTATAATTAAAAAAGGTTAATTTCCGACGATATTTATTTAAAATAAAATCCTACATATATACGTTTGTCTCTGTTCAGGTTTTGAAGACAAATGGATATAAAAATAATTTCAATTGATTAAATGGAAAAGAATTTCACACCGCAAAAATGATTAAACGCGCCGCAATTTTCTTTCGATCGTGAGCTACTGTCTTCCAAGTTATTATTATCAATAGAAAAAATCAATGCAACGTTCCGACCATCGCATCATTAACCTCATAGGTACCTGTATAATGTTACGTGCACAGAAGGTTAGTTGGATGCAGCTAGTGTGACATGTTGTACTGTATTACATTGCGCAAAAAGCAAGCACAAGCTCCAAAGCACAGGTGTCATATAGACGGCAGTTGATCTAGCCGTACAATATCGATTTAATTCTCTAATTAACAATATCGATTTTAAAAGGTACACAACAAAGCCAGTTAAATCTCAACAATATTTGGTTCTATTAAACACATAAGCGATTAATTATCAGATATCAGAAATCATTGCAAGATTCAACAGTGAGGCGTTACATCTCTCGCCGCACTGTTGCACATCTTAAGGTGTATTGCTTCCCAAGCCAATTCAGCAAATACAGCAGGAGTCTTTTAAATGAAGTTTTCTTAAGCGATGATTTCAGTATCAAGTGTATTAGTAAGAATTAAGTCCTAGTACTATCTGTTAAATAAAGTATTGGCATGAAATAAGAATATGAAGCGTCGTACCAAAAGCTGCATAAATTATGACTTGATATGTAATGGCATCCATTATGACTTGGTAAGAAACTAATTAAGAACAAATAACCAGGAAGTTATGCTACATAAGTGAACTGATGGACTTTATTAGTTACGTATGTCCAGCCTAAAGTTTCAGTCATTGCCGACAAAATAATCATACACTACACTCCATGAACGACCATAATTACGCCAGTCTTGACTAAAAAAACGAATGTTTCATGGAGATTTACAGCGCAGTTAATCATGGCTGAAGGTTGCATAAGCGGGAAAAATTCGCATATTTCCTTCTGCATGAAGCAGCGTTTGAGTGGGGCAAAGTTGTAAGTATAGCGTAGCATAACCAGCTCCAAAAATATTGTCAAAACTTGTGAATTTTCAGCAATGTTTGCCATGAGACTACTACTCTTTTCTGATGTCTGTGTACTGCAATATTGCATGACAAGCAGAGCCATGAAGGCTCTACGGTTGGCAGCACAACGCAGCTGAACATACACGACCAGCCCTGTCAGATTGATGCTCTGGCGTGGCGGCTGTCGCGCACTCTAAGCAAGTGTCAAAGCTGGCTTTCTTCATACATGAAATTGGTGATCATACATGAAAGTGGTGCTCATCAAGGAATGTGATGCTCATGCATGAAAGTGGTGCTCATCAAGGAATGTGATGCTCATGCATGAAAGTGGTGCTCATAAAGGAATATTATGCTCATGCATGAAAGCGGTGACGTTACAGTAAGGTGATACTCATGTAAAGATCTATGTAAAGTTTACTTTCAGCGGGAATTTCAGTACATGAAAGTGTTCATCCTACAGAAGTCTTCTTAAGATTATTTTTGTGGTCTGAGGTTGAATTTTTATCGCGTCACTTGAGACTAAAACTTAAACAGTTTGAAATACAATGTTGAGCACTTGTACAACTCTAGTGTGGGAGTGTGATCTAAACATGACATTGATTGTTCAATTGTTATTATCATTATGAAGAATCTTGATATTTTACTTATAGTTGCGTCGAACCTTGCATTACAAAACAACATATTCATCGGCAGGACGTAAATCTTTAAATAAAGTCTAGGAATGCCAAAATGTTAAAAGCACATCCACAATACCGGGCGTGGACCTCAGTATCGAAGATAGGCTTTACGCTTTGATCCGCCGCATTTTACTTTCCAAACGCGGGTGACGTGGCCATTTCGTGCTACTCGCTCCTTCAATAGAACATTTATTCGCGGCGCAGCCGGTGCAAACCGCAACTTCTATACAATGAAATCACATCAAATTCAGAGTCACACCTTCACCTTTCCTTCATCGTATGGGACTGGTGTTCGATAGGCGTGAATTCTTGACAAGTTATTAATGGATATTCACGATATGAAAGGCTTAAGGCCGATTATTAATGTATCTAATTTATAGTTCTAAGCGAGACTTATTAAACTATCGGCAATATTCTATATTAAAATAAACTCAAAAGACGCGAAAAACGGTTAAATTATGACAAAACAATTCTCTTGTATGAAAGTTCAATATAATTATGACTAATATTCGGTCGAACAAGCATAACGAATGTCACATGGTTAGTTGTATTAAAATCATCTTCATTAAGGATGATATTTCCAGTTTTGTAGAAATAAAATTGAGGCTCGGCAATTGATATGTCACGATAATGTCAGAGTACCTTCACAAGCTGAGAGTAGATCTTAAAATATGTAAAAAAATATCGAAAAAATATTAATGGCTAGAGAGGACGACCCTTCAAAAAACCTCGAATTATCGTTCATCATTCACGTTTTTCAATGATTTGTGCATTTCTTGAAAAATCCTTGCTGGCTCATTAATTCGTGTGTTCTTCTTTTACATTCCTTTATTCGATTTTTGTTTATATAATAAATTTTTATCAATCAAATTCTTGTTTATTCTTCTTTTATTATCAACGTATCTAACCTCGCACATATTAGCAATTTTCTTCTTGACTTTTTTCTCTTTTTTCGATAATTCTCGTAATTATCTCAACTGAACCCTGAATTTTACTGACACCTTGCCCTGACGTATCGAGCTCCTTATGAGGTCCTAATTTAACCTGAGTCGTAATCATAGCTGCTTTGTACTTCACTTGGTGACCTCTTCATGGGCTTTCATTTGTTAACCTGTTTCTGCAGACTGCCATTGTTCACTGACGACAAAAAAAATTGAAATTTTCTGCTCTTTGAAAACTTTACGAATAATTAGTCTGTCTATTAGGACTCGTTTCACAATCATGATCCTACAGTAATTCTTCATTTAACTTTTTATTCATTCAGTGGTTTTGACTCCGTGATTTAAGTAGATGAACTGATAGTTCTCTCACAATGGCTTAAATAATTATCATCTCAATAATGTGGCGTAAAACGTGTTATATTTCATGATGCGAGATGACTGCCCTAAATATTCCCTAAATACTCAAACGAACACATGAATACAATTCAAAGTAAAGTGTAGAGTCTACTGTGTGTTGTGTTAACGAGATGACTGAAGAACTGTCACACAAAGACATCCAGAGCATCTGTGCTACCCACAGGTGGAGTGGAGGCAACCTCAGAACCTTACGGCATCAGCAGAGCTGTCGTGGAGGGAGCTGCTCTTGCAGGTGCTTCCTTTACCCCTCCTCCAGCAGCAGGAAGAGACCTAGACGTACGCCCTGTCCCAGCCTTGAGTCAAGTTACTCCTACTCTTGCTCCTGATGGTCTGCCAAGTGGACTGGAAGCTCCAGGATTCCACTCGGACGGAGGAACTGGACTTTCTTTCCCGGATTCGGCTGACCCGACAATGAATGAAATCTCCGGCAAGAAAAAGGATGATATTCGTGAGTCAATGCCTTCGCTTCGTCTGGTTCTTGCACAACTGATGGAGAACTTTGCTCTGTCTTCACCACGTCACCGAGTTTACGCATGAAGAATATTTTCCACACAATTTGTCTTACAAGTGTACAATAAATCTTGTATAACAACTACTTTCTAATCTCTGTAACTGGCAGCAACGTCCAGTCTTGAAATATTGTAGCGAGTCCAGCATGGTGATGATGACAACTTGCACGGACAATTGGAAATCACAAACGCATGAACACCACAACAGTCAACCGGCATTCATACCACACGTTTGTTGTGTCGCAAGAATCTCTCTTTGAAGTCTTCTCTCTTTCTTTTCTTTCTTGCGAATTACTGTCTCCCGCTATTAATCAAATTTGTCATTTCTTCCGTGATATGTACATTGTTGTGAGTTCGAATATATGCAATTTCATCTAGTTTGGAAATAAATTTAATTACCAGCAAATCATGTGAGGATTTATTAGCGGAAAATATTCGAAAAAACATTACGGCTTTTGTTTAAGTTCATATTAAAAATTGATTTCATAGCAATAGCATAAGCTTTCGAATTATTGTGGAGGGAAAATAAGTCTAATTTTTATCAATTCTTTTAGTGTAAAATGCGGAATTTCTTGCGACGCGTCATAATCTAGACATTAAAGTAAATAAATCATTCGCTGCACTCAACAGACTGGCTGATGCGTGCTTATATGTGCTCTTAATTGAGGCAGATTCAATAAGTTTGTTGCATGACGTTGGCGCAATGGCAAGTACTTGAAAATCACGTATTCATGAATTATAAAATAATTATAATAATTGAAAGCCTTATACATATTTTTATAAATACGTTAAATCATTAAGTATTTATAGTGCATGGGAATAATTTAGCCCATTACCTCCTAAACGCTTCACTTGTCACTGCAGCAACCTTTAATAACGAATTTCAAGTGCACTCGTATTATCGAATGAGGATGCATGAAAATACTTTACTTGAGAACTATTTTTAAACTGCTTTCACAATGCATGTGCTAGTGCCTTCCATGCACCTAAAATTTTCAAGCAATCTTGCTTTACAAAAACAATGCGTCACTAATCAACTATAGTTCTCAAGAAACAGAGTTAGTAAGCAATTACAAAAATATAAACAATTTGCTTAGGTTCTAAGAACAATTAGTTCAGACACCGCTTACAGGCGAAAATAAATTCAATGTGCGCAGCTGGAATCGTGGTCACGAGGTAAGAAAAGCTTACGTTTTCATTATCTTTATCGCTTCATACCGTTTCTAAAAATATTGTATACGTACGTATTGTATACAATAGAGTATACGAGATATTATCCGTACTTTCTACATAACAATCAGGTGATTAAAAAATGGTGAATTATTTAGCGTACTTTAGTTAATAATAAAAAGACAGATAGCGTTTATTTTGTATTAGAATTAAGCTATCACGGCGATAATTTTCGATGAACTTGAGGAACAGTGAAATTAAGTCTACGGTAATTACAACTCACAGTTAATTTACTTTAAGATGGTGTGGTATCATATGTAAATGCAAAATTTGTCCAAACAACAACTGTGCAAGATGAGAAACTATAACTTGTGTGGCGTCATTTACGATGGACATGTAAGACCCTTCGTATCTCCGGAACCAAAAATCAAATTGACGAACGTAAAGTTTCATGTGAGAAATGGTTCAAAAAATTTTCAGTTGTAAAATTTTTTACTCACACAAGCCTTATCTATCTCAAAGAAAAAAATTTTTGTTCCATTGTACAGCTTTGGTTCCCGAGCGCACCGCATGTGACGGCGGCCAGGGGGAAATGCGCTATGAGAAGCTGCCGGACGTACGACTCGCTCCCAACTCATATGACTCCGACGTGGTGAGCATTTTTCCTGGCAAAATGTCTACTCTTTTATTTGCACGTTTGTCTCCTGCCATAACTCCTACTCTTTCATTTGTCACTCAAAAGCACATGTTAAAAATTTGCATATCCAAAGAATCACAGATCATCAACGAGAAAATAAAACTTGGAACATTATAACTACTGACCATGCCAATAATCATTAAATGTTGAGTATATATGGTAATGTTCGCGTTAGGACTTTTTTCGGTACATGAAAGCTGCTGTGTTGTTCGATTATGATCTCAAATACGGGTTTCACACTTTTCACTCCTGATTTTAGATTAAAACACGCATTTTGATGATTTATTATGTGTATGATCTTCCGATCACAACCGTTGTATAAACAGTCATTCAAAACTTCGACCGCTACAGCTCTAAAATAAAAATTTTCGCCCTTCGAATAGCTCAAAAAGGCGTTTACCAATCTCTTAAGCTGTGAGTACTCGACCATCGTAAATCTTAAACAGACAATAATCACTTTCTCACCCTCTGACTACATGTTCCCAGATCCGCAAGAACGCAATGCCAGCCGCCGTGTTGGCGTTGTGTGAGGACCGTTGCCTGAAGGACCGCACCGCCACTCAACAACTGACCCGACGCTGCGGATCGCTGGATTTTGTGCCCGGGCGTCGCTACAGCTCGTACTCCAACAGCGTCGAGTACACCGAGACCAAATGCTTCCTTTCGCAGCCCCAAGACGACCGCAACTCTGCAGCCGCGCAATCCCGTTCACAGTTCGAGAGGGCGAACAACTACGCGCATCTAAGGGAAGTTTGCTTCTCAGGTAGGCTTCGTTACGTGTATTTGCAGTTTATAATTCAGGCCGTTACCATGCAACTGTCATTTGAAAACTATCTGACCATCGTACCATGCATTGCACACCCCCATTTGAATAAAAAATGTCGTTTTTGAAAAGTCACAAAGCCGACACAAAAATGATGCTACTTTCGTTTTTAGCATGAAAGTAGCAGTATCTCAGTAACTGAGATAGCAAGTTGCAGTTATACCAGTTTAAGGGTAAAATTTAACCAATTAAAGCCTCTTTAGAAATTTTACTTTTATTCCTACATATGTATTAATTTAACGTAATGGCGTATATGCTGGCTACAGTGACTGATTATAACTTAGGCAAAAATAATGCAAATTTCATATCTCACATATAATGTAAATAACATTCATATCTCACACACGTCCACTCACTAGCGTCCAAAAAAATTAATTTTTTTTTGCTTATACGCCCAAGGTAGCTTTAATGAAATTTCTTGTTGTTTTACCCTATTCCATAAAATTATGTCGTAACTTCAGTGCATGAAAATTTTTTTTACTCTAGCCCCAAGCTCAACGCAAGCATCCATCCTGCGTGAGGAATGTCCGGACCGTCTGTACGTCATGGAACGCCACCTCGCAAAACGTTTCCTGCCAAAGAACGTCATCGAAGTGACGGCATCTACGCTGGAAGAGTGTCAGAACATGTGAGGCACCTAGTGTTTTATGCTGCATTTCAAGTAACTTTGCAACAACGCCTCTGCGATATTTTCTATTTTGAAGTGGTAAAATGTATGGCGTAAAAAGATTATAAATTTTTCATGGTTTCGGATAAAATGGCTTGCGCCTCTAAACAGATTATGCAAAATTCCATAACTGGGCGCAAATATTGTGCTTTATCGAGTCAAGGGTCAAGGTCGATTTCAAGTCGAGGTCGAGTCAAGTTATAATTTACCTAATGGACAAAAAATGAGCCAGTCCTTTTTCTACAATGAGAATCTTAGGCTGATAATTTTTATCTCATACATACCACTATTTACGTATAAAATGCTGCAGACATACCTTATGAACGTATCATAAATTGATTTGATCCACCTCGTTGCTTTCTACGAGCACAATAGGTCAGTTTAATTCTGAGTAATTATTTTTCAAAAGTTTGCTATTGCAGAAAAGTTGGCAAAAAGTTTAATTTGCGATATTCCGAGGGCAAATCTCTTGAAGTTCTCAAACATAGCCGATAATTTTTCAAGTAAACACTCGATGAATAACTCTTCTTTTCATCGTCGGATTTTCTCTTAAAAATCAATCACTGAGAACACCTGTCTCAGTGGTGAGTGTCGTGGCATTATCTAGTTATAAAAACATTCTCAGCTTCGTAGCTTTATCTTGTTTGAAAACATCGTCCTCCGTTGTGAGCGTCGTAGCCTTACCTTGTTCGAAAACATCTGCCTCAGAGTTGATCGTAGATTTAATTTGATCTCTATTAAACGCAAACTTGGTCAGACATTACGACATGGACTACTTTGAGAATACCTGTCTCAGTGGTGAGCTTTGAAGCGTTATCTAGTTATAAAAACATCCTCAGCTTCGTAGCTTTATCTTGTTCGAAAAGACCGTCCTCAGTTGTGAGCGTCGTAGCCTTACTTAGTTCCGGAACACCAGCCTCAGTGCATTGTGAGTGTCGTATATGTTCATCCCCACTCAACGTTCTCCTTTGACACTCAAATTACCACTGATATAAGTGTGCTCGACTTATATCACAACCCAATGATATGCATCATATGGGAATTTTTCCTTCATTAATGATCATAGTCGTATTCACTCATCATGTACAAGCTCTACGTTTGTTCCTTTTTCTTTTCAGCTGAGCGACGTTGTCCAAAGGATCGGCTCTTCTACCTAAAAGAAATCAACGCAGAAATGGGCGGCCCCTTTGATCCCGTGACGATAGTGAATGTTACTCTACAACAATGTAAAGAAGAGTGCATAGAGAGCAAGTCTATCTTCTGCCGCAGTATGGAATACGACCAACGCTCCAAACTGTGCATCCTGTCCGACGAAGATTCTGTTAGCCGACGAGAGGAGTTGCGAGCTTCCACTTCTGCCGACAACGTGTATTTCGAGCTCAAGTGCTTCGATGGAGGTTGGGAACCTGGGTGCTTGTAGTCGAAAGAATACAGGGAAACCAATCTAACGGATATTTTTCGTTCATAATATGATCACCAAAAAAAGCCACAAAACGATTTTAAACTACGATAAATCAGTTCATTTTCTTGTGTCCTCATTTCAATATCCTGATCTTGGATTTGAGGATCCTGATGCCAATCTCTAGTAGGCGCTTACTATCAATGCAACACAGCATTAAAAGACTATGCCATTAAGTGAATCAGATAAAATGTCTGTAATTCACCAACCGCATTCCTTTATGCGTCAACATAATTTTGTCCTTTTATTAGTCTATGATGAAATTGCTCCAATACATTCAACATTTTGAAATTTAATACATCTTTCGCTCTTATTTTTCGTGTACAGACAAAATTGGAGGAGAATATTTAATGGAAGACGACGCGCCACTGACTTCCCCAAACACTGAACCCCTCAACGCTCGGGCCTTCAGGGACGTACGGACAGCATTCCAGCTCTACCGCAACCGCCACCTGGAACTGCGCTCCGGGTGAGGCCAACAAAGTAGCCTTAAATAAATGAACAGGATACGTGCTACTAAAAAGAGTTAACAGTACGCAACTCCATCAGAATTTAACTGACAACTCCTCGAACCAAACCGACCAATCATAAATAAGAAATCTGTACCTATTTGTTATATGATTTGTCACCATTTATTATTCTTTGTCATTGTTTGCTTCTATTAAAATAATGAGCCTATTCACTTACTGTAAGCAATATATTCCTATTTACAACGCAACTACCAGTTTTCGCAACGACCGTCGTGACCGCACTCTGCTCACGCTGGCCGAGTGTCTGGACGAGTGCCTGGAAGAGCGTCGGTTTGCGTGCCGCTCTGTGATGTACTCAGAGCGCTTCCAGGTGTGCAAGCTCTCGGAGTTTGACCAGTATAACGGCGAGCTCATCTACGACGGAGAATACGACTATTTTGAGAACTTGATGGGTCAGTAGCTCCGTTCTAAATTTCTATGAATTCAATTTTATGAAATATTACAACGAATTTGGATTTTTTTCTCATTTAGCTTTTTTATTTTGGATGCAATAAAATCAAAGTGAAAGGCTAAATGTTTTCCTTGAGTACAGGTTAGAACGTTTAAGCCTGGATTAGTCAATTTAGCGTGCAGATGTGCTGGAAGCATAACTGTGTTGCCCAAGTCAATGTGGGTCAGTAATTTACATTATTCGTTCTTCTTTTAAAATCTCAACTGGGTAGCAGACAATTGTCATGAATGTGTATGTGTTTTTCTTTTTTTCGCGTGTTTGAAATAATATATTTTTATGCACAGCTTCTTTTGAGCATTTCTTTCAATTATGTGAATATTATATTCAGTAGTACAACCGGCAACCTTTGCATGTGTAATGTAGACGATAACTGCTTAGTTGGGCTGAAACGGTTTTAATTGATCCGTATAGAAGTAGTGTAGAGCAAAATATAAATAGTCAAATAGTTGCTGCATTAAACTTGTGAGTATAAAAACTGCAGTTAAACGTTTAAATAGAACAAATCTAAAATTTAACCATAATACACACATCACTTTTAATCACTGTCCGTACGCGTTACCGAGCGACATGCTGAAACTGCCGAGTCAGGACTCATTTCCGTCTGATTGCTTTTGACTCTTAAGCCAAACCTCTGGTTTTTTCCCAACGACTTTCAGGAGCGGGACTGGCAGATTCCCGGTCTCAGGGAGGAAGTAGCAACTCACTTGGTTTCAGTGGCAGCAGCTCGGACGGCTTCGAAGGTTCGGGGTTGTCATCGTCTGATCGGTTTTCTGGAGGAAGCTCATCGTCTAGTGGATTTATATCGAACTCCAGAGAGGGAAGCCGGATAAACCTGCCGCCACTTTTTCAAGATAGACCGGGACTTTTCAGACCAATCAGCACTGATATTGGTGACGATGGCAGCAAAGGATCGACCAACAGAAACACAGGCTTATTTGGCATCACGAGAGGTGATGGCACAGCATCTACTACTGACCGTTTCACAGGCCACGGTGGGAGCTCTGACAGATTTGGATCAAGCGCTGATAGATTTGGGTCCAGTACTGACAGGTTTGGGTCAAGTGCTGATAGATTCGGTGCAGGTGCTGACAGATTTGGATCAAGTGCCGACAGATTTGGATCAAGTGCCGACAGATTTGGATCAAGTGCCGACAGATTCGGATCAAGTGCGGACAGACTAGGGTCAAGTGCTGACAGATTTGGATCGAGTACAGATAAATTTGGTTCAGGTGCCGATAGTTTAGGAGGTAGTTCAGATAGCTTCCGCTCTGGTGCTGACCGTTTTGACAGCAGCAGCAACACGTTGAGGGGGTCTGGAGACAGAAGTTCGACAAGTTTAAACAGATTTGGAGCAACTGACCGCTTTTCGTTTTTGGGAGGTGGTTCTGCATTTGGAACTGGTCGCTTCAGCGGCTTAGGCCTGGGAACCGACGCCGGCACCGGAATCGGAGCTGGGGGCAATCGTTTCGACGACGGTGGAAGAGGTACCTCAAGTTTTGCGACGGATGTTGGAGGAAGTGGTTTGTCTACCAGCAGATTGGGCACAATGAATGGTGAAGGTACATAATTAAGCTTGACTGATTCTTGCGGCTTGTTTTTTTTCTTTTCTTTTAAATTAGAAGATGGGTTTCCTACGAGGTTTCAAATGTTTGGTACTGCAAGCATGGGTACTATTTTCAAAACTATTCTCACGCTTGAAAACTATTTTCATAATATAACTCAGCAAACTTTTCTCTTTGTTCTGATTTGAACCATCAACCTTGCCTGTTCTAACACACCAACTCACTTCTCATATAAACTGCTTTCATTGATGCATGCCACTAAAATGTTTTAATCGCTCTTCACGCTAACCCACTCCTGACTCAAAGCACAAAATTCCTTTCCTACTGTATAGTCACCGCATGCAGGCACATTTAAGCTGTCACCATATTTTCACACAGCGTTTGAATTTAGGAACAACTCGAGCCGCCGATTTCAAAACTGGCTCTGTCGCATCTCACATCAACTTTGGTCCCTGGGGTTCCACAACTTCCAGCCCAGTCATCAGAGACCTCTACCTACCAAGTGAAGTAACTTTCGGAAGTAACGCCAACCCTTTTGGAGTTGTCGGGTCTGGTTCGTTCGGAAGTTCAACGGGAAGTACATCTGGGTTTATTCCTGCGTCGGACTGTTATTACTCAGGAAGCTTCAGCTTGAGGGAACGTGGGAAGCGGCTTCGTCAAGCCTATGTGAAACGCTACCTCAGCGTCGGCAACCGTGAACACTGCTCAAGGGAATGCCTCAACGAACAAATGTTTCTTTGTCGCAGCTATAATTTCAGGTCAATCATTTGAATGAATTCATATTGTTTTGTTTCAATTAGCTTAGTAAGGTTGTATCGTATTTGACTCATTGGGTTAAGCCATCAACTGCTAATCTGTATTATTATAGATATTTCCGAATTACCATGCCTCACGAATAGATCTTGCTCTAAATAGATCCCTCTAGAGACCCTCTAGTGTCCGATTGAACCAAACACTCGTACCTTTCAACTGGCAACAAAACAAGAAGTTGTTTCATTACAGTTAATTTTCAGTAATATCTAGCAAAATGTCCTATATTTTGCATGTTCATTAACCTCTTAAGTGCAGAGAGTAAACATAACTCAAAGCGTGACAAGTAGTTAACCTCGTCATACCCATCTCAGGTACGGCAGCCTCGGCGTCGCCGACAACTGCCAGCTCTCGGAGCGCGGCAGCGCTCCTCTTGATCTTCGGAATCCTGCGTACTTCCAAACGGACGTGGAATTCGATTATTACGAAATTGATCGCAGCCGAAGCTTTGTAGGCGACGTTAGCGATAACTGCCCTCATGGTGAGGCTTCCAATCGCTCAAGATCGGAAAGGCGGGAATGAAGTTTCAACTTGACAGAAAATTTAATTTACCTGAAAAATTAATTTTTTTTCGTCCACCTGCGACGCCGGTGATCCATCAGTCATGCAGCACCATAATTCATCTTCACAAATAGGACCTAAGCGCTAATCTATGATAGGTCCACCAATAAGCCCTTCAAACTTGAAATGTAAATTAACCTAGTAATCTCAGACACATCGATTCTCGTTCGAATGAATCAATTATCCAATACCCAATTTGTTGACAGAAAACAATTAATTTTCGGGATAAACTAAAGTCCCCTTAGAAAAATGGAAATATTCCCTACCGAAAACTCTTGTCCATCATTCTATACTCCACAAATTAATAGAAAACGTAATATGAAATATGATTTCGAAAGGCGACAGAACGGGTAAGCATTAAGTAAGAAACATTGGATGCCAAACCAAGTAAGTTGAATGATCAGAAGTCTCGGCTTCACGAACTCTCCGTTAACTTGCATGTTATCTTACCGACATCTTCCTTCAAAACCCAAGCCGGCTTGGGTCCACTTAATTTACGCGAGAACTTTAATATTTACTTCGTTGTTTGTCTTTACAATATTTTTCAAATCCCGTGGTTAATGGTACTTGATTCAGAAAAATTGTCGAGACAATGATGTAAATAAATTAATGTTCGCAAATGACTTATCTCATATTACAATAAATGAGCTTTGCAATTTTGACTGTTACCCACAAAACTAATCAGTTTCTATTAACAGAACGATGAGTCTAGGGACAATGCACTTTCCTCAGTGTTGCATCAAAATTTGTCCTTACTTATTTTATTCACTTCAATATTATTCAAATTGATGTATTTTAATAGGTCATACTTTTGTACATTTACTAAATAAATTATTAGGTTCGAAATTAGTCATATTGGTGTTCATTAGCATTAATGCGTCCATCAGATATATTTAAACAGCGTTACAGTTATTAGCGAACATTAAAATTAACTGTAGCAAGATACTGTCACCCATGTTTTTTTTGCAATGTATTATTAATTATTAATTTAGAATAATTGGCCCGATAGCAAGTCACGTATTTGTCCGAAGGTAAAAAATTGCCAACCTTTAGCCTTAATGAAAAAGTTGTACTGCTTTTCAATCACCTTCTGTCTACTAACCTTAATTGCTCTGAGAAAATAGCTCCCGTTTACCGTTCTCTATTCCGATTAAAGCGTAATTCCTTGAAAAGTTCAATTTCACTAAATATACCTACCCTGTTTGTCTTCGCTACAGTTTCTCTGCTAGCCCTTTCTTTCCTCCATTTTCATTTTTTATAACAGTTTTCATCCCTAAAACTCTCCTCTTTCAATGCAATCACGTTTCCTTATCCAATTCTCCCTTTTCATTGCATTTCTGTTTTTCCTTCTTCTATTTTAATATAGTCAGGGTTCTTCCCCATATTTCCCCCATTCGTTGACTGTACCGTTTCCCCACCTCGATCTTTGAAAATAGTCGAAGTTCCTCTTCTAATTTCCCCATTCTTTCGAACACTGTTTCTCCTTCATCTCTTTGAAACCACTTACGATTCCTTGTTAAAAACAGTGGCTCAGAGCTGCAACGAGGACGGCAGCATGGAGTTCACGCTGCGTACGGACGAGCCGTTCAAAGGTCGTATATACGCTTATGGCTACTACGACCGCTGCTTCATCGTCGGACGTGGAAGCACTGTCAGTGTCCTGCAGCTGTCCTCACCCAGGGGCTTTCCCGACTGCGGCACCATCAGGGTCAGTTAAGGAAAAACGAAATCAGTTTTTTTTCCAGCCTCCAGCTAGTGGAAGGGTCAGGGTCAATATTGGGAGAACGAAATGATTCTGTTCCAACCTCCATCTTGTTGAATGGTCAGGATCAGTATTGGAAGAACAAAATTATTCAGTTTCAGCCAGAAGCTGGTGGAAGGATTATGGTCAGTTGTCACATCGAGCGAGAGGAGTGAGTGTCAGTTTTCACCTTTGGCTGGTAGAAATGTCATCAACACTTTCAAGACTGTCAGACGAAGAAGACAAGCTGCATTTCGAGACGATAATTTTAATTTTTAACTTCGGAGACGATTGAATCAAAATGATTCGGTCATGATCCATGACCCGTGATATGCAAGTTACGTTATTTGATCAAGGCGCTATTTAATGCCATGTTATGGTTTTCGACAGTACGGGGACACGCTTACCAACATCGTCGTAGTGCAGTTCGCCGAGAACGTGCAGACGATGATGGACAAGCGCTACAACCTGACGTGTACCACCATCGGCCCGAGCGACAGCGTGGTCACCTCCGCGTATATCGGGGCTGGGTACGGTACTGCAGTGGCAGGAGCAACCAGGTTTGATATTCAGTGATAGTCCGTGCACGCCGCATGGATTTGAAACATGGGAAACATCTCGGTGTCTAAGCTCGTAATTGTAAACTTGATGAGAAGGGCTGGATGACAGTTTTTTTTGATGACGGTCTTATTTCGACGCATGATGATACGTGACGATTACGAGATTTATGTTTATCTTGCTCACTAGAAGGTTTGGCTGCATGGAGGGACTTTTACATCAAACCGCATGGAGTAGCACAATTTGTGATTAGTGATATATTTTTAAGCGTATATCGCGATGTATAACGAATGGTGTAACGAATCTCGTGATGCGTAACACCAGAATTTGGGAATCTCGTGATGCTTAACGCATTGTGTAACGAATCTCGTGATTCGTAACTCAAGGAGTTGCGAATCTCGCGATGCGTAACGCCTGGAGTAACAAATTTCATGAGGGCGAGACGTTGCTAACAATGTGAATAATAATGTGATTAATTCCTGAAGACCACTACGTTGATCAATATAAAGTTTCAAAATTTGCTTCAACTACTCGATTGGATTCCTATTCCAAACTGACTGACTAGACGATTGAGGCGACATAAGGTGCGGAAAATTATAGTAACAGTAATGAATTGATTGGATGAAGTCATGTATTTTATTTTGATTCGACCGTCATAATACAGGGATTTGAAAGAATTCAGATCTAATTTTCTTCCTTACCTGTAATAATATTGCCCATGATGTAATCATCAAGTCATGACTTGATGCAAAAAGCAATATCTTTGTAATAATTTGTCAGTGATTTTAGACTTTTGAGTTGGTATTAAACTTGTACAACTTTGTCAAATTATTAGTAATTTATAAATATGTCATTTGCCCAAAGCCACGATTGCCTTTAGTGATGACTAATGCCATTTGCCTTTAGTAATGAATTAATGAAGTTCCTGTGTGATTTAATTAAGTTCCTGACACAAAAGAGTTAATATTATAGTAATCTATATACTGCAGTGAACGGTGGACTGAGTTAATTCCGGTTTGTAATTTGAATATAAATTCTGCCCCTGCTCACAGCTAGGAAGTGTAGTCAAGTGAAAAATCAAAATTAATTGCACAGTTTTTCACATTTCCTTGCGATATTTTACCATGTGTTCATAAATTATTTTTAAAGCATGAACAAAAAGTGGAATATCCCGATTTTCATGAGCAATCAGCTTTTGATTTTCCCTTTGCTCACCTTAGAATTCGGATTCGTCTCACCTTTCCGTTTATTGAAAATGTTGCAGCATAGTAACACCGAATTCGTTTTTGGAGTCACACCTGAGGGTATTATGAATGTATTGCTATGAGTCACCCTTTATTATATTAAAAAAATGTATTTCTGAGAATGGAGTCTATTGCAAGTGGGTTCTCTTTTATTTTTCTCCGATTTGCCCAAAAATAGAACGTCAGTTTCTGAATTTTTCTCGACAAACCGCATGTGTTGAGCGTATGACTACAAATTTTTCGAATGAACACTTCATAATACCAATGTGATAATTAGCATACTTTTTTACCCCCTAAAATTTATACTGGGAAACGCGGAATAAATAATTTATATCTCTCGCCCACTGAAACAGTAGTGCAGGGGCCCCAACTCCCATCGAGTACCTGGAACTGGAGAACCGCCTGGACCAACGCGTCGCCCTCCGTGTCTTGTACGACGGCCGCCCTACCACCACCATCGCCGTAGGAGATCCTCTCACCTTCAGACTTGAGCCCCAGGCAGGCTTCAACCTCGTATCTGACATCTTCGCCACAAACGTCGTCGCCAAGGACCCTTACTCCGGTCGAGCAGTGCAACTCATCGACAGCAGAGGGTGGGCATCCAATCAAAATTTAGAGTCGCCTCAGCTTCTGATTACTCGAACCGGTAGATGCTATGCGTCTGAATTTTGTTTTAGCTGCAGTATAACTTTATATGTAGAATTAGTTATTTGAGTTAGTAGCTCTGACAGCCAATTACTGACGGCTTTTCAGCTAAACCCACCAATCACTTAAGATAAATATGCCGCTGAGTGTTCTTAGACGAGTTTTGGTAGTTAGGAGGCACATTAATTATCAACATACTAGATCGAGATTAATTATCAAGCCATCGAGGCTGGAGGCAATTCCCATCAGGGACCGGTGCAAGAAGATCACCGATGCGCAAGAGACTGTAAAACTGTACTAGCAGTGTCCGGCTATGTATGTTCAATTGTATTTGTTGTTGAATTTTAATTAACATAAGCATGTTTACCTAGTACCTCTTCCCACAGAACTTAACTTTCTAATTTGTTTCAAAAAACTTTTGATCGCCGAGTTTCAGAATATAATTAAACATTTTATTCGTTACATCATGTTACATAACCTACTTGAGGTTAATTTCATAAACTGAATTATTTACGAAGTGGCAATAATTTCGGAGCATCTGTGCCCAGGTGCCCGGTGGACAACTACATCTTCCCTGCCCTGGGGCGCGCCCGCAGCGGCGAGGGACTCGAGACGAGGTTCAGCGCTTTTAAAATTCCGGAATCCAACTTTTTGGTCTTCGAGGCCAACGTGCGACCCTGCAAACTCACCTGCACGCCTGTGAGTGTCTGATAGCGATATTGATATCGAAGATCCGAATTGAATTTTAGTAATATTATTTGCTAGTTTGATACCATAATTCAAAATAATTCTAACTTTCACGAACTCAATTCAAACTTTCATAATTCAAACTTTCACGAGCTCGAGATTCAATATTAAGAAGACTGAAAGAATTTCAATTTCCTCCAGACGTTGTTCGCGTTGTTCGTTGCTGTTGTCCAGTGGAAGTCTTGCAGTAATTGCTGTGAAAATAATCGCGACTGATAATAGAAATTAGAATATTTATTTTAATTTTACGTGTTTTGCAGTTTTGTTCATTCTCTGTGGCTAAAATAACTCGCCTTTTCGCGTGTCGCAAAATTACTGTTATTCCAAATTCTTCATATTTTATTTTGTTACTCTTGTAATCAAGTAGCTAACGAATTTTGTGTTAGTGACAGCAGCCAACATGAACAAGAAAATGCAATTTTTCGCCTTGCTCTTCTACCGCAATGCATTTACAGGCATTTCGAGAATATAATATCAGCTATAATTGTGCCTAATTAAAAATTTTATTTAATACATGAAATTAATAAAATTCTTTTCATTCAAATTTCAGTCGTAAAATAATGGGCAAAACGAAAATTAATCTATATAATTTACAAATGTTAGCAAATAATTATTTAAATTTTAGTAATTTCATAATTTTATTCGGCGCAGGCCTTCTGCCGCGACACACACGGGCGCGGGGAGGTCGAGTCGTACGGCCGGCGCAGGAGGGATCTGGCGGAGCGTCTGGGTCCTGTGAACGAGACGAGCTACACGAACATGACGGCCGAGGAGCAACGGCTGCTCGAGCAGGAGAAACTGGAGGCTGAGGAGGGACCTGTGGAGCATGTGCACGGCATATACGAGGTACAGTATGTTGATGGGGGTCTTGGCATCTACGAGGTATGTTAAACGGCGTGTTGATATATACGAGGTATGTTAAACGGTGTCTTGGCATCTACGAGGTATGTTCATCGGTGTCTAGGCATATACTAGGTATGTTGATGGGGGTCTTGGCATCTACGAGGTATGTTAAACGGTGTCTTGGCATATACGAGGTATGTTGATTGGTATCTTGGCATATACGAGGTATGTTAAACGGTGTCTTGGCATATATATGTTCCTTGTCAATTATGGCAGCTGCGAGGTATGTTCCTTGTCAATTGTGGCGGTTGCGAGGTTCACTGTTAATGTAGCTCTGTTTCAATTGCTGCAGACGTGAATTAGTTCAAATTCTTCACATCTTCAATATTTCTTCCAAGTTTTGTAGATAAATAAGGAATTTTTAACTCTGAAAATATTATATTCCTGCATAATCGTTAAAATTTTATCTAAAACAAATCAATAATCAAAGAGACGCGAGCTTCTCATTCCAAAATATTATACGAACCTTCAACTTAAAAGCAACACATCGTTGGTGATCTTGATTTACTGCACACGAGTTTATTCCTAGTTATCAGAATACAAGTTCGGTGCAAAGACTCTACTTTTAAGTCTTGTCGAGACTCCAGAGCTTTGGAAACCCCAAATTTCCCAGCTCTTTCTGAATAAATACACACGGATGTGTTCCGTGTTGGCTGTGCCAGACTGGAGAGATGTCTGTTGCGTCAGTATAAAGACGAGTTATTTGTGTCAGGTTTACCTGTCACGCGAGGACATCCCAGCGGCGGCAGAGCTGCGCTACCTGCAGGACGTGTGCCTCAGCACGTCCGCCTACAATGGCCTCGTGGCCACGACTGTGACCTCCGTGCTATGCCTGATCGGCGTCCTCGTAGCCACCGTCTTCCTTTATCGGTAAACTTGGTGAAGGATACCATCTTCAAAACTGATAATTATTGATTAGTTATCACCATGTTTCATTTAGCATGAATCGCATGATTATGTTATACTAATTTTTAGCATAAATGACCAGACGTTGATCCGTTAATATTATATTTTATCCACTGAAATTTTTTTTTATTCACTGAATCATCCCAGACGCAGCGCACATGGCGGAGTGGCTGCCAAGAACGCCATGGCTGACGCTGGCAATCCTCGCCACGTCTCACTGCGTCATGAGGCTGCCAGAGGCTCATTCCCCAGCCATCCACGCACTGTGCCTCAGCCAGCCAGGTACCCTAACAAAATTTAGAGTCGCCCCAGCTTCTGGTAATCCAAATCAGAAGCTGACGCGTCTGTAAATTTTCACTGGGTAACATAATTTAGAGTCGTCCCAGCTTCTGGTAATCCAAATCAGAAGCTGACGCGTCTGTAAATTTTTCACTGGGTAGGTGGAATTTCGCCTCAATGTTAAACTCCCACACAGTAAAATAGTTGTAGATAATTTTGATTGAAAATTTCACTGCAACATTGTTCACTACAAATGATTTTCAATTTTTTTAAATGATCGCCTGCTTAACTTTCAAATAGATTTATAAACTTTATCGGAAAAGTTTCAAACAGCACTTAGGTTATGCAATGCGCTGCACATTTTTGCAACAAATTTGTAGATTCTGTGCTTATTATAATAGCAATGAAAACATAAACGCCAATATTAAGCCTTCAAATCATTAAGGCATCAAGTGTCTTCTAGGTATCACATCACAATTGCTTATTCAATACTTTGAATGATGCAAAAAAAGGGAACAAGATGACACAATTCAGATGACTCAATATTGGTCAATCTAAGTCTAATTTAACCTTCAATTGGCAATAAGAAGTGAAAAATTTAAAATGGTAGTGCAATTTGTTCACATAGTGAGTTTTTCGTTTTATAACATATAAAGAAGGCTTAGATCTTCCGGCCAAAACTGTCTTCAATAAATTTATTGAATTTTATGATATCTTAAAACGTCAGAGGAAGAAAAAATCATTCAAATTAAAAGCCGAATTTGCATAAATGACGGAAGTGAAAGTTTTTAACGATATCATATTACAGTTAGTATTGAAGTTCCACCTGAAGAGTATTCCAACTCAAATGCTTGAACAGTTAACAACTTAAATTTCCATTCCATTTTAGAATTTTTTCGTGTCATCATAATCTACTGAATCAATTTGTCACTCATAATGTAGTTGCACCATACTTTCCTGTAGTGTGCTTTATACACGTTTTATGTATTTTAGTTGATGAACTAGAGTCTAATAAAAAAACATTTCGTAATTTCCAGTTATATTAATTTTAGCACTCACGAAAAAGCATGCAAAAATGTTTCATCATTGTGTTGCTTGTAATTAGAAATGTAACGAGTTAATAATAAGATGACAGCACGTTATGTAAATAAACGCGCACATATTTACAGCGACGACACGTCCGTATGACGTCACCCGCGCCAAGAAGTCAACCGCCAACACACGCTCGTTCGATACTGACATCTCATAAAACAATTCAAGCTAAAATTAAAATACCGAACACGCATTCTTTGGAATATACTGGCAAATATGTACTACACTACAAATTGTTTTTTTTTTCTTCGTTTTACTATCTTCATTTTCCATTATTTGAAAAAAAAAATTTAGTCCATAATTTTAGTAGTCAATACTTATTCAAATAAATGTACTTTTTTCAAAAATATTGGTAGTAGGCTTGAATATTTGCAACAATAAATGTATCCTTGGCGAGGCAGAAGGTCAATATTTGAGTTATCCATGTAGAATTTAAATTTAGAGCACTTTAGCAGGGCACGGAAATTCCAAATCCTTGGAATTTTCAAATCCTTGGAATTTTCAAATCCTTGGAATTTCCAAATTTCAAATCCTTGACATTCCAATTTTTTTAGAAATCCTTGCACAGGCAAAATATCATTCAAGTTTCAATGCTAGTTAACAAATATTACCGTTTGCATCACAAAATATTTCAGTGTAGAAATCTTTGAAAGCTGTGCTTTTCTTCAATTAGTATTTTTTACCCCTCAACGAAACTTGATCGATACAACCTCCACTTGTTTTCCAACGTCAATTAGTCCTTTTCCATTCAAAACAAAAATCAATACACATGTAAATACGTTGACCTGCACCAAGCTTTGTACAAACGCACGCCTGGAGAAAACAATTGCTTTCTTCGCATTCGCCGGCGCCGTCACATCCAACGCACGAAGGTGAGCTCAGAACTCAATTGCAGCTTTTTTACAATCCAGCACGAATGTTAATTTGAAGAACGAAGTCGTATATAACCATGTTTTATTTGTGTGCTTCACTGCCAACTGGCATATTATTTACTTTCTATGATGGAATCTGTGAATATGAATACGAAAAAAAACTTTATGATATAAATACGAAAAGGCAGCAATCTGTATGAATTAAAAACAATTTAAGAGAGTTCACTCAAGCTCGAATATACGCTGAATGCTGTGGTTGATTGCGTCATTAAAATAGTTAATTACGTCGTTGAGACTCTTCAGAAGCGTCGGAGGTAGGAACTGAGACGTTCAAGTTTCAATCATAACAATTTATTTGTTTTTGTATACTGAAGAATGTAACTCAAAAAGAATCATTTTATTTCAATCCTAACAGGGGTTGCATATTTAAAGTTTTGAACCTAAGGGCGTTATTGGTGGTCTTATTCAGATAAAACACAAGAACTTCTGATGCTAGAAGAAATTTTATTTTGGACAACCCGTTCCTTTCGGGTAATAAAAGCTAATTTCCTACGCAAAACAAGAAACAGTTATTTCCTCCAATCTTTTCCTACGATCAAATCATACTAATTTCTCTATATATCAACAACATAAAGCTCCAGTCTTACGCAAATCATTAATGCGTCTGTGTGCGACTCAAAAATTGGTTCGAAAGTTTGAAGATTCAAATCGATTTCAATCTTTTACAGTAACTTATCTTTTCATCCTTTGTTGATATTCTCCGTGCCCCATATTTTGGATGTGGACCGGCAAATCGTTCTGACAGAAAGTCGGCCACATTCATGCCATGATTTACGCACATATTTTAATTTCTTCATATTATTGTCGTTAAATTTAATTCCAATCACATGATTTCAAAATTAATGAAATAAAATGATCTTGATATTACTGGACAATTGATTTCCAACTGGAAAATTGATTTCGAAGAAGCTCATGTAAATAGTGTAAAATGTACCTCATATAATTTTCTACTGAATTCTGCAAAAGGAAAAGCTTTATATTAAAGTCTTAAAGGGCCATTTTTCCATATGCAGGTATTTCCCAGACCCTAAGCCAGACGACCTTACCCTCACATCAGAACCTGACGGATTAAATTCACACTACATCGACCCATCAGAGCCCATCTACACAAACCCGGCCCTCTTCGAGAGGTGAGTGCCTTTTGTGACAGAAAATGCTGACTCATCAGAACCACTTCACACGGACCCGTCCCTTTTTCCAAGAGATAATTGGCCGTCGCCTGCCTTTTGTGATATGAGAACAACCGCCACCCACGGACGATCAAAAGAGCTCTACTGAAAATCGCTCAGTTAAATTTTTCTTTCGAAATCGTTATACCTACGTAAAATCAATGAGGCGCATTCTCGTAATCATCATTTACCCGTTGGCCTTCAATTCCCCCTTTTTCTCGATATTCTCTGTACAAAGTTTACATTGCGGAGCACTTTGATACAGAAAAATTCCTCCGATAAAAACTACGACACCTGTTTTCATTTATCGCACTCGTGTTCTTCAAAGTCCGTTAAACGATTTGCATAAAATATGGAAACTTTTCTTGAGGCTGAGCTTCATTAAACTTTCACAAGCGCTTGAAAGGTGAACTGACAATGTAAAACCTGAAAAATCTTCTAAATTCTTTCTAAAGAACTGATCGTGTTGCGATGTAAAAATATACAGACATTGAGTGAATATATCCTTCAAACTCTGCTGTCGGATAGTTCGTTAAAAATAATCCTGTCAATTCGATTGATTCCGTTTTTTATGTATGGAAATATTAAAACGATTCCACTGATTATTTTGCAATGTGCACACGATGTGGCATTTGAAATTGCAAATTAGATTTCATACGAATGAACTTAATTAAAACGCGCATTACGAATCAGGATAATAATGAATTTACACTCCATGCAAAAAATTCCTACCAAATAATTTCAAGTACAAATAAAAGTTTGAATAATTTCAATAATATTCAAGTTCATTGACTCTATCAGATTTTATTTTTCATAAACGAGGATACATCAGCGGCCATGTGAACATATTGCTTGTTCTATCCCTCGGGTTCAACTATTAATAGGTTTCTTATAAATTTGCGATAAGTTCACATGAGTGAATAATATGACTATCAATCCTCTATTTTGTATATAATCATACTGAAATACTTCAATACTAAACTTTCAACTATATTACGTCAAAATTAACTGAAGGTTTAACCTGTTCCGATCATTTGTCTTTACCGCTATGCTACTATTTTAGTACCACATATGTTATATAATAAAACATGTCTATTATTAAAAGATTTCATTCGGATACGTGAATAAACTTATGCACCATGCAGGACTAGATTTTTTCATCCACTGAGAATTGTTACTCTAAGATATTGTGAAAATATTACCTATTACATTTTCTGGCCCTGTATTTATTATCAATAAATTTCAGCGCATTAAAGACACCGTGTTATAATATCAGTAACAATATCAATTACAATCATATTATTGGAACATATTTAACATTTTTAATTTTCCTAATGTTTCCAGAGCTGCGGCGGACGATCGCTCAGGTCGGGGGCCGCGCGTATGAGGATGGTTAACGGTCTAATTACTCTACTAACTTAACAACTTGATCACGTCGAAATATATAAGCGACTCGTGGCTGCAAGTACCTTCTTCTTCGTCCTGGCAGTCTCCTTCTCCTTCGTCCTGGCAGTCTACACGACCTTCTCCTTCGTCCTGGCAGCTAACATATCCTTCTCCTTCGTCCTGGCAGTCATCACGATCTTCTTTTTCCTGGCAGTTACATCAAGCATAAATTTTCGATGTACATTGCACCATAGCCTCAATTATCAAGCATGATCCGAGCATGTTTAAAATGTTGGTTGGCCAACCAGCGTTTACTGGATGGTCATCTCTCAGGCTTAGATAACCCTCATTTTGCGACAGAAGCGCCCTTATTTTCATGTTAAAATGCCCTGCTGATCAGTGTATTGCAATTAGCGCGCATATAAAATTCCCCGATCCTTCAATAATTTGTACGATTTGATTCATCCGCTTAGAGACATGGAATAATTGGATATCTAATTGGCTATAATTATATCAGATAATTGAAGCCTATTTATTCTTTACCATTAAATTACGGTGAAAAAATACGGTGCATTGAAGTCTGCAGAAATTATTCATTTTCTGATCATGCTTGTTTCAATAAATGCCGTAGTTCCCTGTTATTCTGTCTATTGCTATTATTATTGTCTGCAAAACTTGCACCGTTTGAAGTTCAAATCCTCTTAAACGCAGAAAATGAATAATTTCAAAATCTATTCTCTAATATTTTTCTAATATCTTGTTTTTTTTTAAATCCATACCTAACTTTTGCCTTCCAAAGCTGAGTCACAATTCATTCTCAATCACTATAAACTTCACTTAAATTAAACTCGCGTTACTTTGCACTTTTTGTCGTTCAGTTACCATGAAGCATAAATTTTGTTTAGTCAGTGTCCAGTTCAGTGTAGATCAACGACCCAGAGCTATTTTGCTGGGCTTCTTTTCCCTTATTTGCTTTAAGATTCCATTAATAATCAGGCTAGCTGGGACCTCAAAAAATTAAAACCAATAGGACCTAAAATCGTTCCATTTCTAAAAGGAAGCTCAGCAAGATTAAGCTCTGGGTTAAGATCAGGGCTTGTGCATGTAGTCTAGGCGTTAGTTTTAATTATGCTTCCTAGTTTAATACTCGTAAATAGGTTTGTACTGGATGTGTACTGGATGTGTGTTCAAGAGCCGACTCTGTGCTTAACTTTAACGTCTTATACAAGTGATTAATTAATAAATTGTACTTATTTCACAAAAGGAAGCGATTTAACTTAAACTTCATTACAATAGATTTCCCCGTAATTATTTTATTTAATAATAAATTTGCAACAATATCGTACTTCTTTGGAGTCCAATAACTTATTGCAGCTTCTCTTCGTGAGCCGAACTTTAGTGCCACTTTTTAAAATCATTGGTTAAGCGCAGACAAAATTACCTGACAGCTAAATGCATTTTTGGTGTCCATATGTCTTCTTTCGAATTCACTTGGTTAATTTTTCTTTCTATAGCGTGGAAGGTAATAAAATTTAATGTTAAGAAAGACACATTCTTTCCCATGTTTTTTTTTTATATTTGTGCTGTCGATAAAAACTACTACCCGCTACTCGGTTCAGCAACTTCCGGTCAATGAACTTAATGAACTTCATTAAGTAAGAGTTTTCGTAACCTTTTCTACTCAGATAACTTTTAAAAAATGCATCGAGTTGTATTGAGCTTGCAATAAGTAGATTTACAAGTAATTTCGCCCGCGTGTCACAATCTGGTACTGTTCGATCGAGATAGAAGCTTCAAATAAAGAACTGTCTCAGTTATAATTGGGTTTCATTATTTCCAACAAAATAGAGCGGTATAGGTTACAAGGCAAGTTATTACACGATCACCCTAATATACATTAAATTTTGATTTCCCGTCTCTGCGGCGGGTTTGCACATGTTTTGATAATTTCAGAAAGATATGTTTGGAAATAAAATTTTCTTTGGATTTTATAAAAAAATTGTCGGTGCTACACGGGCTGGTGCTCGGTTGGTTTCAATAAAAAAATTTGCTTGGATTTACACAAAAATCGCGACTTGTTTTCACCATGCAGTAGACGTATTTTATCATAAGTATTTACTGGTAATCCATATAAAATTAATTTCATTTCAATATTCATTTAGGAATACATAAATCAACATCAATAATTAATATCTAGACTAATATTCGAATATTATTTTTATTATTAAAGTTTTGCTCGTTACCAATATTTATCTATATTCGTGTTCTTGATCACTGATCACGGAAGGCAAGAAATAATAAAAAAAATGCAAACAGAAGAAGATCATTTCACTTTCGTGATGAGCGACACGAGGCAGCCGTGCATCACGATCGTACGTGACATCGAGTTTCCCGAAAAAAAATTCGTTCGCTCTGTAATTATCGTAAATAAATCTGCAGACGCGACGTGAACGCTTGAATCCCACATCCACCTGTCTTGGCCCAGTTACGATTTATTCACGAAGGTTTGAAGAAGAGAATTCGAGTTGAAAGTCAAGCTATAAAAGGTGGTTACAATAAAGATGATCAGTTCATTGTTAACTTGCCGTGGATCTGGTAACTAGTCAGCTGCAATAAAGCAAAATGGTTAAGGTAAGCTTGTGTGAAATTTGTTCGTCCATTTCACTCACTCTTTGTTTGCCAGCACAATTTATATTTAACATCACTTATAAATCTCAAAGCTAATCTCTAGGGGACACTGCTTAGTGATTAAACAATGATCAGGTCAAAAAGTCAAGCGGGAAATGTATTGACCGAACCCCCAAAACATTTTATTTGTGAGATAGTTAACCCAGCTGCATTCTCACTGTAAACTGGATATAGAACTTGACCAATAAAACCAGTTTAGCTGCATAAATATGTCATTAGATGGACTAAATGCTGGTTAAACCTGCAAAAAAGCAATGCAGTAGCTTTAGTTTGAACCTTGAATTACAATATTGCAATTGTTTTCTGAACTTTGCTGCGAGCGTTCAGTCAATTTTCAGAAGAAATCAAACATTGTAGCCAGAGAGGAATTTCAGAGGGAATTTTATTGCTGGGAGCAGAATAAATACTCTTTCCGGCTTCGGTACTGAAAATTAACTTTCTAATTCAAATCACCAAAGTTTCTAGCTCCTAGAGTTGGAATTTTTTTATTTGACTATCCGCTATTTCATTATCAAACTTTTTCTAATATTCGATTTTGAAGTTAACGTGCAAACAGTTTACAGCAAAGAACATTTTTATTTGTAACTGGTAATTTATTTATATTTTAATTCAATCGATTTGGAACGTATTTCATCGCATGAAATTTAATTTATGGAGACAAAAATGTTTCGAGGTAATTATCTGATCATTGGACTTGAGAACGAAAATGTTGCGTTTCAAACTTGCAAAAAAATACAGCTAGAATACGGCTTTAAACAAAAAACTGACCTTTACACGTCATGTACTTGAGCTTTCTAGTTTATCACAGCTTCTGATCGCAACTCTGAGTCTCGTGGTGACACTGGGCGCAGCCTACCCTCGATACGTGGCCATCCCACTCGAGGACCTCTCGCCTGCCCCATCAGGCTACCAGCCTGTCTATCTCTCCCCCTAGTGGAGGCCACGGGGCCTTCGGGTGGTATACCGATCACACCGTCACCACAAATGGTCTCTAGCCGGTTCAAGGCACCTCAGAGATTAGTTCAGTTTATCACATTGTTATAGATTATATCACATTGTTATAGATTATATAAAACACATAAATTACCTCAGATAATATAAAATAGAACAACATCTATATATAATTTAAAATCGAAAAAAATACTGCAGATAATTCAAAATGGCCATGCTTGATCATCATGAGTTGCTTAAAGTTTCAGGTCAATAAGGAAATAGTTATCATTGAATAGTGATTAGATTTAATTTAATTTCTTCGCAATTGAAAATTTCAGAACTCTGTTTTACAAAATATCATAATTTGAAACTGTGTCAACGTCATGATTGCCCAACAACCATCAATTTTATATTCCAGAATGGTTAAAAACGACTTCCTATTCAGTATGACACAGCATAATACATATATGAATGGATATTTCCTCGTATCAATAAATAATAAACAAATTTTTCCCATTGTTGCAGTGTGGAGCTACCATCCCGCGCACTCGTTGCTGACTCGCACTTTCCCCAAGGAGTTGACCACCGCTAACGTCGCCTCATCTCCGCTGCCTTCAAGTCAAAAAAACTGTGTAACAAAATGAGGTCGGAGAGATAAATTATTTTTCTAAAAATAAATGGCGGATAAACAACCCATGGTTTATTATTAACTCCCTCAAATAGCGTCGCAGCTCCAACAACAATAAACGAACTAAAACAATTTTATAGTTGTGCCAATATCATAATCATCAGTCAGTCGGCTATCAACTCTGCAAGAAAGATAAGTCAGAGTTACAATTTACACTTACAACTTATTCAATGCCGTGTGCTCGGCTGCAAAGCGATCAATAAATTATTGCAATAACTCATTTTTGCTTGAATTCACTTTGAAATTTTACGATTCATCAATAACTATTCGTGGATTACGGTGATTTCCCATGCAGTCTAATCTTATACGCAATCTCTAACTCTGTAGCGTTCACATTACAGGTTCAGATTTGCAACCTCACGAGTAAGGCATGAAGCTTCACTTTTCTCGCCTTTGCATTATGAAAGAAAGCTTTATTTTTTACTTGGCATATGAGGTCAGAAGCTTTACTTTTTTATCTATTCATCTTTTTTTTACTAAGGAAGATTTATTTAATTACTGCAAACATACAAGGAAGGTATATTTACGTTTTTAACCCATCAAGTAATTAAGGAAGCGTTATTTCATTACCTAAAAAGTAAAAAAGGAGCTCTACTTTTCTCACCTAATAAGTAAGGACGGAAGCTTAACGAGAAAAATATCGTAGTCTAGATGACAGGGTTTCCATTCGCACCCCACGTCAGCGTGTTGCAAAGGTGCTATATTTACTCGAGTCTCAACAGTAAATAAAAGCAGCGACGACGTTGCTTTCTTTCAAAGGGAACGAAGACAGAAAACCTGCCCAAATACTGCCAGGTCTTCTCTATTTAGGAACTAATTAAGAGAATGAAACTCGTCTAACTCGACCGGCTGACTGCGTGGCTCTGTGATGCTAGAAGGTCTCTACCCTCGCCAGCCTTGTTAAAGTTTTAGAAAATAGCATTAGTCTTACGGAACTCTTAATTAACGTGATATAAAATTGTAAATAAAGAAGAAAATTCTATCATTTGAAGATATTTAAAAGGAAGTGATGTCGCATCAACTTACTTAAAAACTCTGAATTGATAATATATAAAATCTACGACTCGCTAACAGTTGTCATTATTTAGTACGCAGAAAAAACGCACGTTTAATATTTTGTGTAATATGCAATCATAATTGTGCTTCGTAAATATTAATTAATGTCATAGACTTCATTGACGTCTGTGAAGTGTTCGCTGAATTTGAGGCGGGAAGCTAGCGCTGATGAACGATATTCTTCAATACTGTTGCGCCAGTAGTAGGTTAAGGGCAAAAGAAAATGCTGACAGGTTTCTACTTCCGCGAGGCAAGAAAGTGAAACAAGAAGCAAGTTTCTAATGCGGGACCCTGCAGGCTGCGCCGTGTCTCTGCCTTACCTGACGCATTGCTTGAACCTTATTTTCACGTGCACCTTTCTTCGTCTGATTTATGTCATTCAAGTGACATTAATAAGATGCATGATATTATTCTTTAGCTGATAACTGAGATTAATCTAATCTCATCTAAATTAAATGAGTTGTTTGAATGCATTCAATTTTAAAACTTTGCAATAGATCAATGCTGCTAGTACCATTTATACAAAAATTATTCAAGCAAATGGGATAAGTTCACTTTTTCATTGTTACTCTATATTTCAATTGCGTTATGTAAATAATATATTCTTATTAAAAGGTAACTGTCGACAGTAATCAGGATTTGAAGCTTGTGAGGATTTAACGATACACATTAATATCAATTAACAGTACTGATGAAAAGTATCGATTTTAAAATCGGTGACTTTAATGATTAATGATTAAAATACTTAAAGTATTCATCGTTACAACGATTGTTCATTTATTTGAAAATTGTTAATTTAAAAAATTTTGAATTTATAATTTTTAAAATTTAAAAATCAAATTTAATAATTATATGAATTATGCACTTTGATGGGTATACAGTGATTACTTATAAGTTTTACTTTCCCGAATATGAGGTTCTCAATATGTGAAGCTCAGCCTAATTTCTCCAGGGACTGGAGTATATAAAGCTGGTCAAGTTATGGCATCAACTCAGTTAAACAGGAACTTTCGGGCAATATACATCATTCTTGTGAACAGCAGACATGGCATTCAAATTCGTGAGTGTTGCAATAAGATATAAATTATATTCAGTGTGTTATAAAGGAGGACTAACTGTGCGTTTGAACACTGCAACTTTTAAAAATTATAAAAAGTTTCTCAAACTAAAAATTTTCTATATTCTACAAGATTTCAATCGAGTCTAAGACTGATATCTTAAACCCTAAAGATAAGAGTTTAAAAAGTAATTAAACTTTCTAGAACAGAAAATTACTTGGTCGTGCCATTATAACGTTTTTCTTATTATAATTTCTTATAACGGTTTTATGTTATTGGATTTCACATTTTCCTGTCCTAGCTAAAGGACAGTTTTTCAGCCCATTTTTGGTCCATGCCGTGGACACCCGAGTTAATGTAGGCCTGGTCCATAAGCTTCAGCTTTCTTGTATAAATAAAATATAATAGACTAATTTTAATTTGTGTACCGAGTTGCATGGACATACGGCTGTTCAACTAAGCGACTAATCTTAGTTGAAATTCCTGATATAGAGTTTCGAATGATTCTAATTATTTTACATATTATTATTTATCAATAATATTAAATATTTATTTAATATCTTTATCATTTTATTTCAAACCTTGCTCTTAATCTATTTGTTAATCTATTAACATACTATGTAATTTTTTCAGTATAAAGTCGATCGCGCGTAATTATCCAGTAATTGCTTGGGTAGTGAAACAACTAATAATCTTACCAATCTTTTTAATCATAAAAAATCGCTTTAATACAATTAATCTGGCTTATTTTCTTCGGCTTATAAAAGAAGTTCTAATAACGTTTATTTCTCACAATAAATAATAGAAATCATTATTATCTATAAATACTATATAATGCTAAGTAATGAAATTACACATTCATTTCGAAAACGTTTACTACACGTCGTATCATTCAGTACCGATATAAAAGTATGAGAAATTGTATATCATGAAAGTTTTAACAAATAAATAATATTACATCTTGTGTTGATTTCAGATTTCTCACTTTGTAAATAAATTATAAGAAAATAGGCCTTGGCCATTTAAGTAAATACATTGCAGTTGTCAGGTTATTTATCAATGGGCTCATAAATCGTTAAATTGATTTGATATACTGTCATTAGTTTTGAGGATAGTTAATCTTCAGCTGCCATATTTCATCTAAACCCAACATCCGGATAGGGTTTCTGAAGTTCAGGTTTTTCAATAGTCGTCTTGGCCTGTTCTCAATCCTGTTTTTATTCACATGCTTTAGAAGCGATACAACGAGGTCATTCTTATATACTTTCTCCATGAAGAAATTTCTTCATCTTATGAAATTTCTTTTTCTTAAAAGATTCCTTCATTCCTCCATCCATTCCTCTATCTTGAGGAAATTCTTCCATCATTATGAAATTTCTTCGTCATTAACATATTTCTCCGTCCACATGAAATTCCTTCATCCTTCTGAAACTCATCCATTTCTAAGAGATTTAACTAATAATTTACATAATTTAATATCCTATCGATGTATTAATATTCTCTTTGTTGCAGATGTTAGTCGTAATGCTGCTGAGCGCAGCAGGTGCCGGTGCGCGGCCGCGCAGCGTCAGAGTCGCACTGCAGGACATCGAGCTGCTGGAGGAAGCTCTCCCTGCGCTGCGGGCGGCGCGTGACCTCGGGCTACCTGTGGACGAAATCGTCGTTGAGCAATCGGTGCCACTCCAGCAGGTACGAGTCGTCACTCATGCAGGTACGAGTTGTCACTCCAGCAGGTACGAGTTGTCACTCCAGCAGGTACGAGTCGCCACTCCAGAAGGTACGAGTCGGCACTCCAGCAGGTACGAGTCGCCACTCCAGCAGGTACGAGTCGCCACTCCAGCAGGTACGAGTCGCCACTCCAGCAGGTACGAGTCACCACTCCAGCAGGTACGAGTCGCCACTCCAGCAGNCACGTGAATGAAGTACAGTGCAGTGTGTGCAGTGCGCAATGCAGTGCAATGCACATGAATGAAGTACAGTGCAGTGTGTGCAGTGCATTGCCGCAAAATGATATGTACAGTACGTCATTCAGGTCTCACATGCACGGGCTGGCAGCTCAGGAAGAATATCTTCGCCACATCTTCCTCCTTGACGCCCAAGTCCTTTATGGGATCTGAAAGCAAGCAATATTTCAGAACAATAAAGCCCAATTATACGACAAAATGTATAGTTTTGATTTCTCATTATTCATGAGATGAATAATGAAAACATCGAATCATTTTCTCAACCGTACAAGTATTAATTTGAACAGAATCACAGCAAATCGAAAAGAAATGAGAGAAATTTATTTATAAATCGTGACCTTCTAGGAAAGCTCGATTATGTTAATCAATAAATATCAAGAAAGTAAGGCAATGAGATCTTAAGGGGACCGACCTAGCAAAACGAAAACTTCTACAGTTATTATCCGATTGTCATGAAACGTCACATACTGTCTCTTATACACATCTAGATGTGTATAAGAGACAGATGTTAGGTTATGTTATGTTAATTGAAAAATTCATGTTTTCAGGTAAAACAGTTCTCTTTCATCTTTTATTTAAGAATGTATCATGAAATTATTATTTTTGTCTAGGCGTAACAAAAATTATTTATTTTTCATGTCAAGTATCGTTTCCTGAAGTTCATGTTACATTTTTTCACTTCAATGCAGAAAAATAATTTTTTCATGAAGAACAACTTATAGAGAAAGCGAATGTCATTTTCCTTGTAACGTTGCCTTCACATTGAGCGCAGGTACTCAAAAAGTATTCTATCGCAATCCATTAATTTGCATTAAAATGCCACTTCCCTTGCATCATTTTGAAATTTTTAATATAGCAAATTAATTTTTATTTCATCTTGCACTTGGGTTTATAATTTCCTGAAATCTTTCATATTGTTTTTAAATTCTTTATTGATTATTAATACGAATATAGATTTTATTTTTAATGAAAATAAGAAGTTAATCGCATGTCACTAGTTACTATTTTTCTTGTCAAGATATAGCATCTGCTGATAACCACCTTTCAGCATCTGAGTTGCAATAAATGCGAATAGACCTTGTTTATAACGTCTATTAAATAACTTAACTTTTTTAGCCTACAAAATTGATTAATTAGTTCACCGCTAATTCATCAATCAAAATGAACAAAATAATAGCATTCTACGTATATAGAGAAAACTCATGAAGAATCTATTTAAAATCATATAATTTTAGAAATTTCGTGAAAACTGTTTCAGGTGCTTATATATTAAAAGCTTATTACTCGCATAACATGATTATAAAATACTCGAGCGTTTTCACAACTGTTCCGTGACAATATGATGTATAACAATCTAGTACTGCCTGCCGCTACAGCACAACAAACGGAGAAAAATTAGCACAGGATACAATTTTCAATCGAAAAGAGAAAAATCAGGCAAATAGTTTATAACGATGATTTTCAGCATATAACTGAAAGACTAGAGCGCAATGCACTGCTCAGACGATTGGCGTCTGACTTCATATTTATCAATTGCAGTTTCAAATTCGTAATGTTTCCTTATCAAACGTTCCAGCATCACTGTTTCCAAATATATTTTCAGTCTGAGGTAGAGCTTCGGTCTTAGAGCTTCTTCCTTTTCATAGATATTTTCGCTAGTATAAGCTCTTCTACTTCTAATTCTCTTTGGGAAAGACGAACTCCTTCTGCAGAGATGACTCGTAGTATGGCGTCTGTCTCCATGTTCTGTCTGAGTCGTCGCGCAACACGATGGAGTTCATACGGTATGTCGTCTCGCGCAGTACGTTCTCTATGCACGTGTCGGTGCCCTTGCGCCTCAGCGCGTCAAGCAGCGTTTGGATGAACATCGATCCTAAGAAAAAATATGTTATCAGTAACATGTTTGCCGAGAGGTGAAGTTAGATCATAAAATTATCAACATTTATGATGGAAGACTTGAGTTGAGATTGGAACCAAGTGTTCGACTGTAAAAAAATGTAAACCAGGAATAATTCAGAAAGCTTGGATGCTTCATAATACAATGGCAAAAAAAATATGCGCAGTCACGCATATGAATCCCATTTTCTTGTTTAAAATTGTATGCCCGAGATATATTGATCTCCGGTCTAGACATTTTGGAACCATGATGCACTTATGAGTGTGCTGGTCGGTAACTGTATGCCACATGCAAAACCAAAGTTCTGAAAATCAGAAATAAATCGCGGACACTGGACTGAAAACATTTTCATTATGCAGCTGTCAATTCTAAAGTACCTTCTTCGTTGCGTGCAGCAGGCTGGTACCACATGGTGGCATAGCAGACCAGCGTGTCGGCGAAGTTGTTTACGCTGGTGAAGTCAGCGTGTGGCAAATACTTCTTCTTCCACTCATCTCCTGCATCGATGCCGAGTGCCACTGCATCTGTGCTTGTCCGCATTCCTCTGCTGTCTGCTATGTGAAAAAAATACATCTACCTAAGTTCCAAAACCACATGATCTTTGTTATGTAACATAAATTACGAATTTCTTTATTACACGCAGTAGACTTGGTTATTGCTTGACACAATCAAGTACTTCATACACTGCTAAGTTCCAGCGGTTTATGCTAAAGCCTTTTATGTCGGTTTTGTTCCTAAACCAACCTTGTGCATATGACCTAGGGCGTCTATTCGCGCATGCCTGGATGAAGAAAAGCTTAGGTTTAGTCTTGAGCCAATCTATGTCCACGAAAGGCTGGATAAGATCGGTACGCCGATGGATCTGCCCGTCTTTGACAAAGAGGTGAGTCTTGTCGCCGTGAGCCATGAACCACACCACCAGACTTTTGGAGAGTTAGAAAAACATTAGTTACAGTGATCAAAACATTAGATTTAATCTTCGTACATTGTCCTCTACAACATTCTATTGTAAAGAAATTCTTCTATTCCTCTACAAAAAATTTATGGTCACAGAGTAGAATAGTTGTTCTAAACATTACTAAGATGAAATACCGAAAATTTCGGTTATCATTTACAATTGTCTCACCTGTCGTAGAACATGTTTCGTGATTCCCCTAGTTTTGCGATGAGTGACTTGACATCTTTTACCGATGGATTTATTTTGATCAACACATCGTAATTGAACTCAGTTTCGAAGAGAGCCTTCACGTCAGCCACGTCTGTCTTGCTGCCGTCTTCACGACCTTCGAGCATAGCGAATATCATACAGACTCCAGGAGGCTTGTTGGTGATTTGATATCTTTTGAGTTGGCCGATGGCTTTGGTGATGTGCTCTGTGTCACGAGGCTTCGTTTTATCTAGCAACGATCTTGCTGCTTCCAAGTAACTCTCAAGTTGGTGGGTGTAGAGGCTGGTAAGGTTTCCACTTTTGAACATGAAAAGAATCATGTAGTAGAAGGCTGCATCTTTCATGGCTTTTGACGCCTGCAAACTTGCCACACTTTTGATAACTGACACCGCCTCGGCCATCTCTTTCATGTCCTCGTGTGTTTCGCCCTGCTGTGTGATGAATTTCCTCAACCTACGGGAAATCATTAGAAATGATCAACTATTTAAAAATTAGTCCAATAAAGCCATTGAGTAACTAATGAGTTTACTCTATCTCACAGAGTTCATTTTGCAATGAACGCTTACCGTGCGCTGGATACACATTCATTTCCATTCTGTCTCTGGATGATATTGGTCACGCGAAAAATAAATTTGAATGTGAGTGTTGCCAAAAAAAGCCTCGAGGGCCCAAATTCACTAAAAAAGTGCAAAAAAAGACCTTATTTGCAATTCTTGGAAAACTGCAGATCCGACCGCTGAGGACGCAGCCGCGGCCACAAATCCGACTGTTAAATAACAATAAATAACTCAGCCTCAGATCTAGAAGCTGCAGGTGACAGCGCCTTCAGGCAAAATTCTAGCATAGTCGCTCATAAGCAAGTGTCTTGAACGATGGTAAAATTCACGGGGTGCATGCCGGAGGCCAGCATTGCCAAACTTCTCACTTATTTCATATTCCTTTCCATATGTAAGAATGCTAGAGTGAATGAAGTCAAGTGATCAAAGCCATATATAGCGCCGGATGTCCACAGCCACAAATAAGCTTGCCAAAGGTAAACATGGCCATACTACCTCTGGCCAAACCTCCTCTGGCCTAACCTCTTCAGGCCTAACCTATATGAGCTGCAACCTTTCTCCTCCCAAAATAAACCTGAGCGGACCTAACCTAACCTCATTGGCTGCAAAAAGTTAGAAAGGCGGTCCAAGTGGGGCAAACCTGCTTTCACTGTGTGCGTACCCTAATCTGCCACATATGGTAACGTCAGACCAGATGTGTTACCATCGCTCAAGACAGCAGGTCGCTCGGTCTCGCCTACTACTCTCAAACCTCTTCCTGGCCTAACCTATTCCCGCTGTCCCGACTCACAACCTTCTTGCAACCAATGACTGGCTATACTTACTAAATAGCCCCGCCTATCTCATTTCCTGCAGCCAATGAGGTTAGATTAGGTCAGTTTAGGTTTGTTTTTAGCGGAGAAATGTTACGACGTATGTAGGTTCGGCATGAGAGGTTAAGCAGGAGTAGATTAGGACAGATGCAGTATGCCCATGCTCAAATTATCATGCATAAGTAGAGGCTCTGAACATACGACGGTATAACTTTAAGAACTTGACTTCATAAGCTGCTATGCCATCTAGCGTTCTTCCCCCGAGAAAGAATGAAGCATGAAGTGAGAATTGGGCAGGGCCATACTTTCAAAAGTTGCTAAGTGAACGTAAGTACTTACGCTCTATTTTCTTGTCTATGGTTGGTGGATTTTGCTTGAAAGGCCGTCAATGATTCGCGGATGAACTAACGATCTCTTAACTTTTTTTGAAAGTATAGGCCCTGCTGGCGTACGACATGTTAACCAAACTTCCCTATTTTTCCAGAACTCACGCATAAACTTCCTCTGCAGACAACGACTCGCATATTTTGCCGATGTTTTTGTTGAATGTGTAGGAAAGGAATTGATTTTCATTGCCAGCAGATGATCTTCTTGTATGGCGAGCAGGGATACGTTTCTGACTGAGCACTGCTTCTAATTTTTCTTGCAGCAGCGCTGGGACTGGGTAGCCCACCACCTGCAACACCTCCGTGAAAGTCAAGAGCTCTTCGTCTTGAACGGAGATCGCATCGTCCAGGTCCGCGAAATTGCTCTCAAGAGTTGGCATCTCCAAGAGGGGCACATCGAGGCTGCACATCCGTAACGTCTTCACTTTCAACTCCCGCATCAAAGGCTGCATGCTCTCCTTTTCCAAAGACTCCTACAAGTCAAATTGATAGGAAATTTTTAATACATATATGGGTAACACAAAAACAAAGCAAAAAATTCAGGTTGCGAATTCGTCCTTTCCCGCTGTTACACGAATAGCGACAAAAATATTTATTATCACATTATCACTTATTTGTAGCTCCGCTGACCGCTAAAAAAAATATCCCTTGTCATTAGGGTTTCATGCAGAAGTTTTAAATGGTCTATACTGCTCTTCATGATTCAATTTTTGGCACAGAGAGAAAAAGCCTCTGGACATTAATATTAAAATATAATACTCGTTTGTTTGTCACTTTTGCACTTTTGTATATTTCTTTATTACTTGCCTAAATAAATTTTCGTTCATATTGAGAGATGCCGCCATAAATTTTTTCACACAGAAGGTTTGTTATAACTTAAAACTAAACGAATACATCTTAATGATATAAAATTCTGCATACATTTTCTACGTCTTACAAGTTCTAATTTATATTCATAAGAAAATCTATGTGTATTAGAATCAGATGGTGGTCAGATGATAGTAAGCCAGTAGCTCGTAGCACGCAAATTCATCATAACCCATAAATCGAAAACGGAATCAATCAACTTTAGAAGCAATGAAAACGCCAAGTAAATTCATTATATCTTCATCGAAAACTTCTCGGACACCATCTCTCGCATCAATTAAAATATTAGAGAATACAAGTACAATCAATAACCTATCCTAATTTTTTTAACTGATGAAAGTTCTGGTCGCCGAAACATTTTCGATGAATATATAGTGAATTTACTTGATGTTTTCTTCGTTTTTAAATTCTTTGCATACCAGATTATATTTGACCGGCGGGATTCAGTTTGAATCGAAAGTCTCCCAGTGAGCTCAATTAAAGCATGATAGTAAATGAACACTTGACTTAAATATATACTTTCCCACCTTTTGAAGTATTTCAGACAGACGTCCTTCAAGTTTCGCTGAAATACCTTAAAAATCCTTCAAGTTTCAAGTCGAATAAATGGTAAAAACTCTGAAATGCCAAAGTATTAATAATATTTTTAGGCTATAATAGTATTCTTGTTGAATCTTGGGGGAAAACTCAACTCGAATCGCTATTTTTAATAGAGAAACCTCTTACTCTGAAGTTAGGCGCATCAATTTTCTATTGGAAACTTTAAAAACTTACCTTGAACTTTTCAAGCAGCCTGCACATGGCGCAACTGTTGTCATCTCTGTGTTCGGCCTGAAATATATGAGAAAAATCTCATCATAATTTTCCCAGGTACTGTAGAAAAATCTTCTTCAGTAAATATCAGTTCTTTTTTTTATTTCATGATAAAATAATTTCACAGAGAATCAATTATCACCATATCATTTATTTACTGAATTTCATTTATTTTATCTGCATTTGAATTCATCCCTAAATATTTTAACTGCCGAATTGAGCTATAGCTTGGCAGTCTCTTGAAATTGACTAGCTGTCACAATGCATTGCTGTGCAAAATGCTTCAGTGCAGTGCAATATGCGCAGTGCAGTACAATGTTTGCAGTAAAGTGCAATGTGTGCAGTAAATTTTAATGTGTGCAGTGCAGTGCAAAAGGTGCAGAACAGTTCAATTTAAGCAGTTATCAATGTACATCAATAGATAAATGAAATGTCTGAAGTGGGCAATGCACATGAATGAAGTACAGTGCAGTGTGTGCAGTGCAATGCACATGAATGAAGTACAGTGCGGTGTGTGCAGTGCATTGCACGTGAATGAAGTACAGTGCAGTGTGTGCAGTGCGCAATGCAGTGCAATGCACATGAATGAAGTACAGTGCAGTGTGTGCAGTGCATTGCCGCAAAATGATATGTACAGTACGTCATTCAGGTCTCACATGCACGGGCTGGCAGCTCAGGAAGAATATCTTCGCCACATCTTCCTCCTTGACGCCCAAGTCCTTTATGGGATCTGAAAGCAAGCAATATTTCAGAACAATAAAGCCCAATTATACGACAAAATGTATAGTTTTGATTTCTCATTATTCATGAGATGAATAATGAAAACATCGAATCATTTTCTCAACCGTACAAGTATTAATTTGAACAGAATCACAGCAAATCGAAAAGAAATGAGAGAAATTTATTTATAAATCGTGACCTTCTAGGAAAGCTCGATTATGTTAATCAATAAATATCAAGAAAGTAAGGCAATGAGATCTTAATTTTAATTAATGTAAAAAATCATTTCTGGAAAAATCATTATCACAAGTGGAGATTTGTGGACCATAGCCAAATGAAGTTTTGCACATGCGTTTAAAATATACGATGAAGGTAAAAACTTAATAATAACACTCCTATCTTTATGGCCATGTATCGCTTTAATTTAATAACTGGTTATTTCTAAACACCTTCTGTTGACGACATTATGATCTCGTTTCATCAAGAGAAGCACAGCTCAATCGTACTTGTATGATGCTTCGCTTTGTCGAGACTGACTGGTTGAGAGGAGGCGGTTCAGGTGAAATAAAATGTGTGGTTGCTATCATGCTATCATCTTCTCTGATATCATCGTCGCTGATAAGATCAAACCCAACTCTAGATGATGAGATAAAGCTTTTTGAAGCATCGTAATCTGGAAACCTGACTTCGACCTTCATGATAATTTTGAAAAATTAAAGCATAAATAGCCTAACCAAATAATTTTGATGAGGTTTTGTTATCAACCTTATCACAATCGCATATACAAATACCTCCGGCACTGTTGCAGCGCATGATAAACTGAAGCGCCAAATAGCATATCAATTTCACCTCAAGTGTACTGCTTGCATGTGTCAATAGTAAAATCGCTCCCGATTATCTTATTTCGAGTAAAAAATATTTTTTGTGCAGCAAACCATACTAACTAAAATCCCTGAACTTCAAAATCGCTCACGTTTACGAGGTGTGTGCTTTTATATACGAATGTATCTTTTTGCTGTCAAAAATTGTAAAGTTCTCTCGTTTGATCCCGTCGGAAAAAAATTGTGAGTTCTAAAATGCAGAAAATCTATTAGTTATTACATGCGGAAGAAGTAGCCTACTTATATAGTTTGTTTTTAAATAATATTATTGCATGGTTAAGGTAATATTAAGGTATAGAACACATGTGGAGCATAGAACAATCAGTGTGCACATGGCTTACAGACAATCATCGCGTGCTACATAAATAGCATCATTGTAGGTGTCAAAACAGCAATCATCGTGTACGACGTAATCACTATCAGCGTTAAATTATGTGATTAAAAGCACTTATGTGAGTATGCACCGTGAATCATGTGATTATGCACCGTAAAAGCAACATTATTATTCACCGTAACAGCAATCAACATATGTTTCGTAACAACAATCATAGTTTTCCTTAATAACAATCATAAGCGTAACGTAAAGGCAATTATCGTTTGTGCCGTGACAACAACCGTCGTAAGGTGTAACAACAATCAATTACGTGCCGCAAAGGCAATCATGTCCGACTTTCCGTGACGTAAAAGCAATCATCATTTGTGCCGTAATAACAATCATCGTATGCAGTTGCAACAATCATTTAGTGCCGTAAAGGCAATCATCAGGTGCAGGAAAGACTCACGACTAGCGATGAGCGCGCTGCTGGTCTTTCTGGTCTTATGCATTTTGCGTCACGATCCTGTAATTTTAATGATCAACTTTTGCACCTAGTAATTAAATGCTGGGCAAAAATGGAACGCAATTGTCTTTAAAACAAAAAGTTTTTTGTACAAATTAACCAGAGAGCTATTTAAATTTTTATGCAGTTTTTGGTATGAAAAAGAGAAATGTGAAATTACTAAAACCTGCAATATGCTTTTTAGGAATAAACTACATGATTCAAGATGATCCGTAAACGGACGATTAAGCGTTGAGAAGATTTCTCGACGAACAGGCCTCGTGGAACAGTCCGATAAAAAAGACAGTAGTTCAAACTTGCACAAGTGACATTTTTCAGGTACAACTCAACCAAGTGACCACAACGAAATGACAGCTACTTACAAAACAACTGCGATAAAACCTCAGAATACAGTACAAGACAACAACAACAATGCAACAAAATTACTACCAAAAACAACACTACCACCCAATAACTACAATATTTAAACTGAAATAGGCCAACAGCCAATTAATATTTAAATAAGTTAACTTTTATCTAAAATCGACAACTTCTCTTCCATAAAATCCACAAGATAAATGACTCCATGTGACGAGCTACTAGTTAGATTCAGTCCCAGAAGCACAGTTTTGCAGAATTATTCATAAGCCACCATTGCTCATTCTTCACGCTGCAAATTATGCCGCGTGAAGAATATGAATGTGGATTAAAATTATTTTCTATCCATTCACTATGTATAAATTAAAAATGTATAACTTGCGTAAAATTCCGTTTTGGATACTTTATTTCGAGCATTTAAAATTTAGTGCTGTAATATTCTGTAAGGATTATGTGTCATTTGAATAAATTTTAGAAATCAATGCGGTACTTCTGCATTTAAATAGAATCAATGTTCCTCATTGCCCAGCCCAAATTCGCACCTCTCGACAGTTCACCACTATCACCTTCACTCAACTGCCAGGACGCTCGTATCGTGGTCTCTCATATATTGACGGTCATTAAGCCGATAATTCAACTATCTAACGCTATGGCGTCATGAGCTGATAAATAGATCAATGCGTGGTAGCTGGCTAATATCTTGAAGCAGTGGCCATCGTAATTACGCTCGATAACTTAATGCGCATGAGTCATGCTCAATGCCGTAAAACGGAGGTGACTTGGAACATTTCTAGCGCTTTATTTTTTTGTGATATAAATAATCACATAGTGAATATATAAAAACTATCTCTTTATTGCATAGGTAGATTATCTCGCATAGGTAGATTATCTTGCATAGGTAGATTATAGCCATTAACATAATTTCTCTAATACAATAACTTTTTTAGTATATAGTTTTCTTTTCTTAAATATCAAAACGGATATATACGTATAGTGACCCTGTCAATGGTCCAAGCATTAAGGTAACGCATTTGAAACCTTGATATATTTGTGTTAAATCAGAACTGCTCGTGAGTTTTAATTATAGGTTATTGAAAATGTTCCAATAAATAAAATACCTTTAACTTAGTAAGATTGCTGCGAAAGAGCAACCCGCTATAAATACTAAAATTCGTTTGTAGGTACTAAATTATTGATGAAAGCAGTAGCCAAAATTTTTAATAAAATAATATTAAAATACGCTTGACTACAAGTTTATAGCTGCAGTGCATTGTTCTGTTAAAAATTATATTGTGGAAAGTCTGAAGACATATATTTTAAAATTAGTTTGATATTTTATTTCTAATGTTCCATGTGTTTGAACGTGAGACGCTGATATGTGAAACAAAGCAAACGTGATAAAATTACGCGGATGCGAGTTAACTATTTACTATCGGACTTGCGTGTGGGAATTTTGAGAATTTTTTACGAGGAATTTTGTTAATTTGTTTTAGTGGATCCTGCGTCACTTAAGAATTTGATAAAGGTTTTTTGCTATCTAAAAATTTCAAGAAATAATGCTACCAAATGCTGCTAATGCTAATAATGAATGCTTGAAACCTATTTATTATGCCTCTCTATTTGCAAACATATTTCACGAAAAAATATACTTGGTTGTTGAACTATTTGTATACTTGATTTGTTAATTATGCTTGTTAATTATTTACTTATACTTGTTTTTCATGTCCGCAATTATTAAATACATAATAAATTTCAGTTTCAGAGTTGCTTAATTATCGTTGCGTTACGATACACACATGACCGGATTCATAAATTGTTCATAAAATTAAATATTTTTTACAGTCCCCGTAAATTATAATCAATGCGATCCATCATCGGAATCTGCTCAATAAATTGCAGCATTGATGGCAGCTGGATTTATAGCGTCTTATAATGTTCTTTAAGCATATTATCCGAAGTTATTTAGATTCATGTATTCTATCGATAAGCATTCATATCAGTTCTTCGTTTTGGTAACGTTTTGTACAGCGCAGTGGCTGCGCATTGCCCTGCTCGTTATCTATGTGAACTGATATAAGACTTAACCATGTTGCGACATGACTCACCCAATAAAAAAGTTAATTATTTAAATGTTTTTTCAACAAATGGCTAATGCAAGTACCGAACGTTCAAGATTTTACGTGTGTACATTGAAAATTAATTATTGTTATTGGATATTAAATTACGGTTATTAACCCAACGGAATACAGAACACTACGAAAAGTTTAAACTCATTGTTATTCATAACTAAGTATTTATCCGATGTTAACGCTTATAACCTTCATGTATTCACAGCGAATGGAGTCGAGTCCAGCGTTTATCTGAACTGTAACGCCAATTAACGATTATTATAGTCAAGCACGATTCAATTTCTGCTTAAATATTTTCACTACAAAGCGCGTCTAGAGATATGCATTCTACTTGTCAACTGCCGCATTACAGTCAATATTGATATTGTGATCCTAAGATATACGTCAATACTGAACCAATGATTAGATTAACAGGGCTTACTGAAAAAGTGAACACAAATTGGCTGCTGTATTTTGAAGTCGTGGCGCTAGTATAATAATTTTTGGGAGAACTTCACTGCTGCGTAGCACAAAATAATTAAACTGTACGCGTCGTGCATGACAGATCGTTCCGCACGCATGCAGTCCTGATTGTAATCCCATTAATAATTAGAAAGCCCGAGTAATGAGTATTCTAGTTGATTAATTACCAGTTCAAACCCACATTTTACACAAAAGATATGACTGGTATCACTCAGAAAAATGAGTGACATTGTCCAAATAACGATGCATTTTTTGGCCATAAGTGGATTACCCCGACCCACTTTGACCAGGCAATAAAGGCGTATCAGTGCTACGTGCAGAAAGTGTGTCACTAATTGGACAATATGACCCATTATTTTTTCTGTGTGTATCAAAATACGAAAAAATTGAGTTTTTTAAATTATCTATATTTATCATTTGCAAATAAAATTTCAATTTTTTATCAATTCCTTTCTTTTTTACCTCCAATTCTGTCTTATTTTCCCACTTGGGATGAAATTTCAGGTCCAGGTAATATCCTAACGCGATAACTATCGCGGATAGGCACCCCAATAACCTCTCTATTTTTAAAGTCTGAGGCTTCAAGCACAAATACATAAACAAACTTTGGCATGTTGCCAAAAAAGCCTCGAGGGCCCAAATTCACCAAGAAAGTGCAAAAAAAAAGACCTTATTTGCAATTTTTGGAAAACTGCAGATCCGACCATTGAGGACGCAGCCGCGGCCACAAATCCAACTGTTAAATAATAGAAAAATAACTCAGCCTGCAGGTGACAGCGTCTTCAGGCAAAACTCTAACATAGTCGCTCTTAAGCAGGTGTCTTGAACGATGGTAAAATTCACGGGGCGCATGCCGGAGGCCTGCATTGCCAAACTTTACACTTAGTTTACATTCCTTTCCATAGCTAAGAACGCTAGAGTGCATAACGGCCTATGATGTCAAGTGATCAAAGCCATAGCGCCGGATGTCCACAGCCACAAAATAAGCTTGCCTAAGGTAAACATGGCCATACTGCATCTGGCCAAACCTCCTCTGGCCTAATCTCTTCAGGCCTAACTTATACGAGCTGCAACCTTTCTCCACCCAAAACAAACCTGAGCTGATCTAACCTAACCTCATTGGCTGCAAGAAGTTAGAAAGGCGGTCCAAGTGTGCTGGTAGAGACAGTCATTGGCTGCAAGAAGGTTGTGAGCCGGGACAGCGTGAATAGGTTAGGCCAGAAGAGGTTAGGTCGGAGTAGATACAGCCGGATGGGGAACTGCCTGCTTATGAGCGAGCATGCTTAAACATTGGCTGAAGAACCTACGGCGCTATTATCTTTCGGCAGTGTGTCGCTTGTTCGAGTTCAAACGTGGTCTGCGGCTTCTAGTTCTGAGGCTGAATAAAATTAATACATGGTGAAGCTAGGCGTTAGCTCCAGGGCTTATTTAAAAGTAAAATTTTTGGCCTACGGCTGCGCCCCTACATTCACGCCTGTATTTTCGACACAAATGAGGCAGTTCAGGCGGCTGCCAGAAAACGACTAATCTGCCACATATGGTCACGTCAGACCAGATACGTTACCATCGCTCAAGACAGCAAGGTCGATCCGGTCTCGCCTACTACTCCCAAACCTCATCCTGGCCTAACCTATTCCCGCTGTCCCGACTCACAACCTTCCTGCAACCAATGACTGGCTGTACTTACTAAATAGCCCCGCCTATCTCATTTTCTGCAGCCAATGAGGTTAGATTAGGTCCGTTCAGGTTTGTTTTGGGCGGAGAAATGTTACGACGTATGTAGGTTCGGCATGAGAGGTTAAGCAGGAATAGATTAGGCCAGATGCAGTATGCCCATGCTCAAATTATCATGCATAAGTAGAGGCTCTGAACATACGACGGTATAACTTTAAGAACTTGACTTCATAAGCTGCTTATCAATAAATCTTAATTCTAAGAACGAACGACAAGGCAATTGTAGGCTGTAAATGCAAGCACTACGAATCAACTTATTACTACAAAGAATTAATTTCTTAAACACGAACACAGTAACTGACAAAAAGCTAGGAAAGTTATGTTAGAACATGAAGCGGCACACGAAACAAGTGGCGAGGAAAATTGGCATTGTAGGGTTAGGTCTTCAACTGCTACAACCCATATATACAAGTTGCGGGACAAAGCTGAATTGCCTTGGTGTGTTAGTGTACAACTGCCACCGAAGACCGTTCAAGTTTTCCGGCTTAGAAAATCAGCACACAGTTTACGTAGGCATAGTTCAAGAGTGGAATTGAATCTATTGATTAGACCGCAAGTTTCGGGGTTCTAGGATCTAGGGCATAGTGAATACGGGCGCAACCCCCAACAGTTTATGGAGATCACCCCTGAGCTCAGAGATAAATAACGCACCGTTGTTGCTCAGAATTTAGCGCGGTATTCCAACGCGAGAAAAAAATTCTACAAGGGCTTCCGCGACAGCAACGGAATCGATAGTTCTGAGAGGGATTATCTCGGGAAATCCCGCTGCTAAATCTCGTAAGGCGAGTACATATTTATGGTCC